TTGGTGATGAGAGGATAAAAAAAAAAGTCTTTGGTGTGAAGAGTTTGGAAGACTGATTTCAGCAGCCTGAAATACTTGATAAGGCAGCCACATCTGTTACGTGCCGTTAGCACTGATGTTGGTGACGTATACATCCAGCTGCTAAGAAAGGTGAAGTTTCAAGTCCACCCAGAGGTGCCACAGAAAAAAAGGCCTGGCAATTCAATTCTGAAAAATCAGCCTTTGAAAACCCTACAGAGCCAAGTTCTACTCTGACACACAGGAATCACCATGAGTCAGAGTTGACCTAAGAGCAACTGGTTATATTCTGTGCCACACCCTGAAATAGGAGTTCTAGGCTACCTAGATGGGGAAAATCCCCATTCTCAGGGACCTCGTAGTCTAATTAAGGGAGGAGGTCAGCAAGTAGTACAGAGGTGGACGTATAATTGTAGGTGGGATGCAGGTATGAGTGTCAGGCATGTTCACTAACTGGGAGCTGCCCAAGCACAGAGACTGGACTCCTGGTTTCTTTTCACCCCTGAACCCTACCCAGAACTGGCTCAGAGTTGGCCCACTCTGTAAGCATTTGTTGAATTGCCTGACATGAGCAATAAAGCTCAATATGGCGAGACCCCAGTCCTTCTGGTTCTGTCCACAGAAGAAGCCAGCGTGTGCATGTAAACATCTCCTTTCAGTTAAACATTTTATTGAGGGCTTGTTGTTACATACCAGGAGGGTCCTAGACCCTGAGAATGCAGATGTGCTCAAAAACTGGTCCCTGTCCCCCAGAATATAAGCCAGCATGACCCCCAGTGCCCTGGGGTGGAAAGGACCAAGGAGGAGTCACAAGTTGATACTCAAGTCTGTGGAAGGAGAAACACATACCCCCAGAGATGTACACACAGTATATATGCACTGACTTTAATATGTGTAGACTGAGACACCACACAGACCAGCATGGTCGAGGCTAGTCTGTGCTCCCCCACATCAAGGAGGTGTGAGGGAATGGCTTGTGTGTTGAAAGCTGGGTACCAGGACACCCAGGGAATCACCAGACCTTGACATGTGATGGGTGCTGCCATAGCACAAGAGACACAAATAGGTGATTTTAAAGAAGAGGAATGGATTGTCTCATAGTATTGAAGGGTAGAAGATCAGATCAGGCACTGAGTATAGAAAAGGGTCCTTCCTTGTCAGTAACCCTGGGTGTATCATCGTCACACAGTAACTGTCTTTCCTTCTGTGTATGCCTCTCTGCATTTGCTTTTCCTAATAAGACGCCATTCAGAAGAGGTTGGGTTTAAGGCTTAAACTTCTCCAGTATGACCTCGGAGAACTCCAGTAGCCCACACAGAATTGTGCCACTGACCCAAAGGTGGAGTCTCTCTGATGGTTCAACTCTCCCAGCAGCTCTGAGGGAGAAAGACAGACTATCTCCTCTCTTGGGATTTACAGGCTCCTGAAAAGCCCCTGGAGGGTCAGCTATGAGTCTGTTCCAATTCAGTGGTGGTGAGCAAGATGACCTCATTAATATAGAATAGCCCTATTTCCAAGCAGCATCACATGCACAAGAGAGTCCACATATATCTGGGGGAGGGGCACAATTTAGTCCTAGACATCCTCTGATGTGGGTGGAGCTAACAGGCTAACCCCGGACAGTGATGACCGACTATTGGCTTGCAGTGAATGTCAAACACTAGATACCGGCCAATCAACGGGGAACCAGTCCTGACCCTTACAGGCAAGGCCCAGAAGTTAGGGAATGTGAACAAAAGTTTTGACTGTTGGTAACTGAAGCGCTTTTATGCTTGTGGAGGAGTTAGTACCAGATAGGCAGTCCGACCGAGGTCAGGAAGCAGGTGCTGGCTTAGCTTACAGGGTTTTGTGACAGGATTGTATGCTTTTAGAAACGTGTCTGCTTGTGCAGTTACATAGATATTTGGCCATTCTGAGCAAACATGGGAAGTGTCTAGAGCAGTGCCCAGCACAGGATGGCCCCTCAGTAAGTGGTCATTTCTTGCCAGCACCACCCTTAGAGTTCCAGCGAGTTCTAGCCATGAGGAGAGGAATCAGGGAGCTGGTCTGAACAAGGTGACAGGAATAAGGATGGAAAATGCAGAGAGGGCTTTAACAAACTGCCTGAGGCCAGGCAGGCAGCACGTGGCCGTGCCCCTTCTGCCTCTCTCATGGTTCTTCCCCTCCACTCTCCTAATAACACCCCCTGGATGAGCCACTGGCCATCAGTTTTCCTTCTCTTGGACACAGAGCTTGCTCTCAGCTTGCTGGTCTCTCCTATCCTCCATGAAGACCATTCTGACCCATCCCTAGCTAGGCCTTGCCAGGAGATGAAGCTGATCCTACTACACTCTGGGAGCTGATCCTACAGCGTGGGCGCTCTGCCACTTGCCCAGTGGAGCAGGATCAGGTTGGGGTCCTCTCTGAACCCCATCAGCAGACCCACACCTGGGTCAACCAGCCCCTTGAGCCCACTCTGAGGGAACAGGATTGGAGACACTGATAAAAGATGCCTTCTCAAAGCAAACGCATACAGAGAGAAGCATAAACTGTGCCTGAGATTTGCACCCGGGCCAAGGCCCTTAGAGCTCAAGTACGTACTTATGGGCTATTTATAGGGTTTTGAGAAATTAGAGTTTTCTGGGAAATAGGAAAGCTGACAGACTCCAGCTGGTCAGGGCCTGGTGCCAGGGGATGGTGGGGGAGAGTGAAGCCATGGGCCTTCCGATGAAGGGCGCCACACTTCCTGATGGGAGAGAAGGCCTACAGAGAGGCCTCCTCTTTGATGAAGGCAACAATTCAGTGGTCTAAATGGATGTGAGGCCTGGGGCCCTTCATGTTGAGAGGTGGGTGCTTCTTCCAAGCCTGTCAGTTTATGGATGCTGGAACCGAAGCCATTCTGACTCCAGAGGTTCCTGGCAGAGTGCAGAGCATTTTGTTATAAGCACATCTCGGTTCCACATCTCCTCTGCCCCACCCTGCTTCCCTTGCCCCTCAGAGGCATTCTTAACGGCTCTGAAACTAATTATCCCAGAGATTGCTTCCCAGGGAAGCAGCTTTCTGGCACCTGGTAACAAACATCATGAGGCAGCCAGCTCAGGTTCAAAAAGACATGATTATTTTCTTTTTCACTTGGTTACCTTGGGTGAATTCCCTGACTTCTCTATGCATCAGTTTTTCTTGTCTATCAAGTAAGAGTAATACTCAGGCCATAGTTTCTATCTGTTAAGAGTGCGGTGGTACTTTGGGGAAATCAGTTAGGGACTTCTACAAAGTGCTGAAGATTTAAGTGTTGTCAGTTTAAAGTCAAAGGTGCCATAGTTGAATCATCGTTGATTCAGGCCATAGTCTTTTTCAATTACTTGCTATGTATCTAAAAGTTGAATGATTAATACAGATTACAGAATTGATACCTTTGAGTCTTTGAGTTGTGATGTAGAGAAGAGTGAGTGTGAGTGTGTGTGTGTCCGATGGACTGCCAAGAGAACAAGTAGATACGTCTTGGAGATCGTGCAACGAGGATGCTCCTTGGAAGCAAGGATGGTGAAGCTTTGCCTCTCATGCTTAGGGCATGTTGTTAGGAAGGGCTAATCCTTGGAGAAGGACACCGTCCTTCGAAAGGTGGAGGGTCAGCAAAGGAGGGGAAGACCCTCAGCGAGCTGGATTGACACCGTGACTGTAAGAATGATTCAAGTATATAAGAGATGGTGAGAATGGCATAGGATGGGGCGGGGTTCAGATCCATTGTTTGTAGGGTCGCTGTCAGTTGCAGTCAACTCACAGCACCTAACAACACCACCAAGAGTGTGGTGAGGACTGAATGATGCACTTGATCCAGAGAAAACACTCACTAAGCATTACTCGCTTTACTAACGCCATTGAGTCAAAACCAACTCATAGCTGACCCTCCACTGGGTTTCTGTGGCTGTAAATTGCAGGGAGTGGAATGCCCTTCTTTGTTCCATGGAGACAATGGCGGATTAGAACTTCCAGAGAGGTGTGGCCTCTGGGTTAGCAGTGCGACTCTCTACAGACTATGCCACCAGTTTCAAGTCTTATTTACAGTCCAGTCCTCCAAGGTTCAGGTAATGAGGATAGGCTATCACCTCTCATGCAGATGCTGGTAGCAATCAAATAAAATAGGGAGGCAGATAGTCAGGGCTTGTACTCTGTGACCTGACGCAGACTGGAGATGTGGTTCCCTGTGGACTTTGTGTGGCCAGAGCTGTGGTCGAAGGCTTGGCTTTATTGGCCATCACACATAAAAAAGCCAACCGTTAATGGTTCGAAACAACCCAAATTCATTATCTTACCATCCCAAGGGTTGGAAGTCTGACACGGCTCTTACCAGACTTTCAAATCAAGGTATCTATCTGGAAGTTCTAGTGACAAACCTTTTACCCAGCTCATCCAAGTTGTTGGCACAATTTCATTCCTTGTGGCTGCGGGCCTGAAGTCACATTGTTTTACTGACTGTAAGATAAGGGTCATGCTTAGCGTCATTCCAGACTTCTAGAGGCGGCTGTATTTCTTGGCCTGTGGCCCTTATCGCCATCAGCAAAGTCAGCAGCTCGCAGAGTCCTGACAGTGCAGCTCTCTGACCTTCCTGTTCCTTCACCCAGATAATCTCAAACAGTCTTCTCATCTCAAAGTCCTTAACCCTACCCAGCAGTCCCTTTGGCCAGGTAAGGTAACACACTCACAGGTTTGAGATGAGAGTATGAAACTCTTTCTCATTGCCTTCGAGTTAGAGCTGACTCATGGCTGAGCCTCCAGCAGGTTTTCAGAGGCTGCAGATCATGAGAGGAGATTGCCCGTCTTACTCCCGCAGAGCCACTAGTGCATTTGAATCAGCAGAGAGGCTCAACCTTTAAAGGCAATTATACACCTACTAGGCCACTAGAACTCCCTATAAACGTCTTTTGGGAATCATTATGTTATCCACCAGCAGCCATTGATCACAGGATAAGCTCTGATTCTAAGTGCACCCCTTCCTCTTCCAGGGGGAGGTCTGCGCGGTGCCCTGTGCAGTGGGGACCTATGGCCCCAACTGCTCCTCCGTCTGCAGCTGTAACAACGGCGGGGCCTGCTCACCCGTGGATGGCTCCTGCACCTGCAAGGAAGGTAATGTGCTCTCCTTCCCGATCCCTCAGCCTCCAAATAACATGTTCCCTGCCCCGTGAGCTGCCAGCTGAGGGCTCTGGGCTGAGCCTGCTCTTCCGCCGACTGGCCGGGCTGGGGTGTCCATGAGGGTCAGGAGACAGAAACCGTGCAAGGACTTCAACACGTTTAACCAAGGGGAGTAGTTATAACTGTGTCTAAAGAGAACATTAAAAAGGTGAGCAACTCACAGAGTGTCCAGTATGAAGAAGCTGCCTGCTCCTGAGGTTGTTACACTGTTGTCATGAACCCACCCATAGCTGACCCTGCAGTGGGTGTTCAGAGGCAGTAAATCTCCCAAGAGGAGATTGGCCTCCTTTCTCCCAACAGAGCAGCTGGTAGATTCAAACCGTGTGCATTTGGGTTGCACAACCCCTTACCACTAAACCACCAGAGCTCCCTACTCCTGGGATAGGAGGGGTGAAGAGAAGAGGAGGTGCTCTAAGAGCCTGAGAGTGAGGACCACCCACAGGAGAGGGGAGACTGAGAGCCGAGCTCCCTACTCTGGCCCTCCAGCCTTTGGCCCAGGTCTCCCACCGGTAAAAGCACCTGGAGGCAGCTGACCAGGGCTCCTGGGACACACGGCCTGCAGGGTGTGGGCTTCTGAGACACAGAATAGTACAGGAAATTGGGGGATAGATCTGAGGGCTCACAGGCAAATGCCCAGGCTCAGAATGTGAAATTAGCCTGCCTTGCCCATCAGCAAAGGATGTGGAGATAAGCTGCCTGTGTGTTCCCTCAGGTGCTTCCATCTCAGCTGGTCCATCAGCCTGGCTGGGACCATCATCTACAGTAAAAACAGTGACAAATGGGGAGCCAGAGCCCATGGCTGGAGCCCCTCTCCTTCAGCAGTGGGTCGTGTCTGAGCCCCCTCTCTGTAGAGTACAGATTCTAGCCCAGTCCTGAGAGAAGCCGTGATTTGGGTGGGATTCCATGTACGGAGTCAAGGGAGCGGACAGAGCTGCCCTGGCCCTGGATGAGCGGTGACAGCTGTTTCCCCTCCCCTAGGGTGGCAGGGTCTTGACTGTGCCCTGCCCTGTCCCAGCGGCACCTGGGGCCTGAAATGCAACGAGAGCTGCTCCTGTGCCAACGGGGCGGCCTGCAGCCCCACAGACGGCTCCTGCTCCTGCACCCCTGGCTGGCTGGGAGACACCTGCGAACTACCCTGCCCAGTGAGTGTCAAGGGGAGCGAGCGGGTGCTAGCAGAAGCGGGAGTGATGAAGGGTTGCTAGGTCCTTGGAGATGCACAGGGCACTCTGCGTGGCGGGACGTTTGGATTCAGGTCTCAGCCCTAATTCTAACCACTCTGTGGTCATGTCCCCAGTTAGGACCTCAGCCATCTCATTTGTTAATACCTTGGTGGTGTAAGTGGCATAATTTCTCCTCACTGCTATGGTAAACATTATTCATTGACTCTGGCATTACCTGAGCTCAAACGCATCTTCTGAACACAGTGCAGCTCCTATGAATTCATCAGAGTTGCCATTTTTTATTAAAAGATCATTTTGAAGCTACCTTGCAGTTTCAACAGTCTATGATTTTATATTCGGGCTGTAGTTTTCATAGTTATGTGCTGTCGAGTTGGAACCAACTCATAGCTGACCCTCCAGTGGGTTTTCAGAGGCTGTAAATTGCATGAAAGGATATGGCCTTTCCCCCCCCCCAAAAAAAATGGGACTGATATCAGGGTTGGGGTAAGACTGAGAAAAACTGGATAAATTGCGTATACTGAATTGAAACAGATGAGGGAAAGAATAATTTAAAAGCGATGTATGATAGGGTATTATGGTTATCACAAGAGTCCACAATTAAGGTTGCATAGTGGAGTGTACTTGGGATGGTGGGAGGGGTGCAGGGGGATTGTATATCAAAGAAAGAATTTTACTTTTCAAAGAGAGGAGCAAACGGGTGGAGGGGCGGGGGGAGAGCTGGGCAGGGAGAAAAGTACAACAATGAATGAATGGAAATCCAAAATCTCTGTAAATGTTCATTAAAATTATTAAAATAAAATCTAAAAAAAAATAAAAAGGAGTTGACTCAAGGATTCAAACCACCTGCCTTTGGGTTGGTAGTACAACTCTTTACCTATGAGGCCACCAGAGCACCTTGTAGGGTTAGGCTGTGGTGGAGACTAAACTCGTCTTGTAATAACTGCATAGACTTAATCACTAGACCAGAGTCTAAGACACAAATAAGTAAATCTGCTGATGTTACTATCACTGAATGAGCCTGAGCTTTGGAGTCCTGCAGACCTGAGTTCAAATCCAGCTTTTGCTACATTCTAACTGACACTTTGAGCATCTTTACCCCTTAGTTTTGTTTCTTTAATATGGGCCACTTTCTTTATAATGGAACCATTTCACAGAGTTGTGAGGATCAAGAAAAATGATGCAAGTAAGGCTCTTGATATCCAAAGGGCATGTCAGAGCTCACACTTCTTCCCCAGTAATCAAAGAATAAATCAGTCAGCCTCCACATATGAATGATGGGTCATGATCACATTTGCAGTTTTAATTCCTGGTCATCACAGCTCTCCATGCTTGACCAACCAGAAGAAGAGCAGCTATCACCTCCTTCCCTCCAAACCTCATATTCCTCTGAATGCATCCAAGGAACAATGGCTGTGTTGATCCCCAGAAATGAAAAGCGCTGCCTCTCTGCCCCAGCCGTAGTCTCCCTGTGTCCCTGTGGGGACTTTGGCTCGGTTTGGTTATCCGGATCCATCTACTGTGTGAGCCTGTGGGCCTTGATCTGACAGCTGGTTTCTCTCTTCTCCTCGCCCTCAGGACGGCACGTTTGGCCTGAACTGCAGTGAGCGCTGTGACTGCAGTCACGCTGACGGCTGTGACCCCGTCACCGGCCACTGCTGCTGCCTGGCCGGATGGACAGGTAACACCCTCCTCCCACCACCCACATCCCTGCAAAACTGGCTTCTTGGGCTCTCCTGCTCTTTTTCTTCCTCCTTAATTCGCTTTCTTCCTGCTCCTGAAGTCTCACCTTTCTCTTGTCTGCTGGGCTTCATTTCCTCGTTCCGTTCCATTCAAGCAAACGTGTCTATTGAACATTATCTTAGTTACCTGATGCTTCTTTGCCAGGAATAATACCACAAGTGGGCAGCTTTAATCAACAGAAATTTGTTTTCCTTCTTTTTTTTTAAGATTTTATTTATTTATTTTCTTGTTGTGTGCCATGGATTCAGATCCAACTGGCATGGGATGAAGTTGCCCCTCCTTCTCCAGAGGAGCATCTGGTGGATTCGAACTGCATGCCTTTGAGATTGTACTACAGCTTTTTGCCACTAGGCTACCAGGGCGCCCCAGAAATTTATTTTCTCATCATTCAGGAGACTAGAAGTCTGACTCGAGGGCACCAGCTCAAGAGGAAGGCTCTCTGTCTGCGTTGGCTCTGGGAGAAGATCCTTGGCTTCTTGGTGAACTTTCAGTGGTGTGGCATCTCTCTCCTCCCAACTCTGCTTCCTTTATTTGCTCCTTTATATTTCAAAAGAGATGGACTCAAGACACACCCTACACAAATACGGCCTTGTTCATATGACAGAGACGACCCTTCTGTTGTGTGTGCCATCACATTGGAGCAGCTGAGGGCCAGGGACACCTCTGACCCGTCCATCAAATCCCAACTTGAATGGCACTTCCTCTGGGAAAGGTCTGTCCTCAAGACACCACTTGGGAGCTCTGGTAGCCTAGAGGGAAGAAGCTGCTCTACAATCCCAAAGGCATATGGTTCAAATCCACCAGCTTTTCTGTGGGAGAAAGATGGGCAATTTCCTCCTCTATGATTTGCTGCCTCTGAAAACCCACCGGACGGTCAGCTATGGGTCGGTTCTAACTCAGCAGCACATGACAACATGCATCACCGTCTCTTAGGCCTCCACCAAGACTAGGTTAAGAGCTCCCTTGCATTAATTCTTGAAATAACTCTGTGCTTTTTATTTTGTAGTACTTTACTATTGTGGTCACTTACCCTTGATTTCCATAACTACTTGGTATAATCTGCCTCCCAACTTGACCAGGAGCTAATGCAGCCAGGGACCCCGCTGCCGTGTACACACCTGCCACACACCAGGATACAGAGAGCACAGCGGTTAACAGCCAGGAACAGAGCCAGGTTGCCCGTGTGACCTTGGGCAAATCCCTTACCCTCTCAGGACTTCGCTCTCACATGAATGTAATTCCCACAATGATGGGTTGTTTTGAAGTGTAAATGAGTTAATACCTAAAGTGCTAATGTTGCCGCTGCTGTTATGTGCTGTAGAGTCAGAATCTCCTCACCCTCCAGCAGATTTTTAGAAGCTGTAAATCACATGGGAAGAGACTACTCATCTTTCTCTTGAGGAACAGCTAATGGATTCGAACTCCTTGCCTTTCGATTGGCAGTGCAACTCGTTACCACGAGGCTGCCAGAGCTCCTTTAAGTACTAAGAGTTGTCTGCTGTTTAGTAAGTGCTGAATAAATGTAAGTCATGCATACAGGAATGCCAAAACCAAACCTGATGCCATAGAGTTGATCTTAGCACAGATATCCCTACAGAAATATCTCATAGGTTTCTAAGGCACTAAGTCTTCACAGACGCAGACTGCTGTATCGTTCTCCTGAGGAGCAACTAATGGGTTCAAACTGCCAACCTCTTGGTCAGCAGTTGAGTTCTTAACTGCTGAGCCACCAGTATTCTCATGAATACAGGAAATGCTTAACGACTATATCTTGTGCACAAAACCTACTAGCCAGTCTCAAGGTGTCAGACAACAATGAGAAGGGCAGCCAGCCTTTCTGACTGTAGTTCTTTGGATAAATAATTCACACCAGGTTACTCCGCAGCCTCTGTTCTCCATAATCAGAAAATTTTGAGCAGCCAAAGGCCAGGGATTGCTTCCTGTAAAACATCTCTGACCCATTTCCCCTGCCCTGCCTGGCTCCTGACCTTTGGTGCAGAAGCAGGCTCTAACCTGGTCACCAGCACCCTGGACTCTTAGCTGGAGCCAAGTGGAAATCCACTTTAATTTTTCATTGCCTTAATTTCAAGTGAGCTGGTAAGATTTTAATGACATCTGGTGCTTAAAAAATTCTGTCTTTGATGGACAACCTTTCAGCAAGCCCTCTGCTGTTTCTAAAGCTAATTTCCCCAAACATGGTCCTGAAGTCATTTCAAAGAATTGATTGATGTCCTGAGGTTTGTCATGCAGAAGGGGACTGAGGAGGAGCAGAGGGAAGCTGAGTAAAAAACTGAGCCTCTCATTCCATTAATTCTCCCCACCGGTGCCGATTCCTCAGCCCCTGGCCCACTCCTCAGGCCTGGGTTCAAGGTAGGTTTTGCTCTGCCCTAAGTTGTGTGCAGAGCTCTGGTGACCTAGTGGGTAAGGAGTTGTGCTGCCAATCCAAAGGTACACAGTTCAAATCTACCAGCTGCTCTGCAGCAGAAAGATGGGTAGTCTCCTCACGTGTGATTTACAGTCTCTGAAAAACCACTGGAGGGTCAGTATGAGTCAGTTCCAATATGCTGACACACAACAACACAACAAGTTGTGTGTCTTATTCTCACTCCCTAGTCTTCATAAATAACACCAGCTTCATGTTCTGTTCACCTTACTCTGGATGAAGTCGGTGCTTAATGAAATACACTGAAAGATGGTGTTGACACATAGAGTCTCTGCCCTTGAAGTGAAGATGATCTGCTCTAATTTCTTCACACTACAGAGGAGGGACATGACTTGCTCGAGCCCTTTAGTGTCAGCAGGATGGGAAGAAGCAGGACTACATTTCAAATGGCAGCCATTTATTCATTCAACTAGGATTTAGTGAATCAAGCAATTGCCAAGTCTTTATTTGGTAGCCACCATGAATTCAGCCAATGAACCTGGGTGGCACAGTGATTCAGCACTAGCTGCAAAGCCAGAGGTTGATGGATCAAACCCACAGCTGCTCTGCAGGATAAGTATGAGGCAGTCTGCGTCCATAAAGCTTCACAGCCCTTGGAAGCCCCATGGGGCAGTTCTGCCAGTCTGATAGGGTCACTTTGAATCAGAATTGACTCTGTGACAATTTTCTCTGTGAGGTATACTCAGCCCATGGGGAATGGGAACATTCAACAACAGCAATAATCTGTGAGTATCTACTGTGTCCCCAACACTGTGCTGAGCGCTGAAGATGCAGAGGTGACTAAGGGGGCATCCCCATCCTAGAAAGTCAGAGTGTCAGTGAGCCACAGGCTTTCTGCTAAGAGTGTGAGTGTTTGCATGCAGGGGACAAGTAGGAACAAGGTTGTATGCCATTAGCTGTCAAAGAGCCGACACCCAGGAAGGCTTCCTGGAGAAGGCAAGCTCTAAAAGGATGTCTTAGATATTCCAAGTTCCTGTCCACCTGCTGAGCATTAGCATAGAAACCAGGGTTTTGGGGGTGTGGTTAAGCTTCTTGGAGGGGAAGATTGATGATGCCCTCCCCACAGTGTCCCCTGAGGTAGGGAGCTGCACAGCCTTCTTGAAGGGCCCTGCATCATTGAAGTTCCTGGATTATACAAATAAGTGCACAAAAAGGTTGGTGGTTTGAACCCACTCAGAAATACCTTGGAAGAAAGGCCTGGTGCTCTGCTCAGAAAGTTCACAGCCATAGAAGCCCCAAGGAATGCACTTCTACTCTGCATGCACAGGGCATCAGGAGTCAGGATCAACTCACTGGAACTGGTATTTCACACCAGTTCTTCCTGCTAGACTTTTGGCAGGTGTCTAAATAGCACTGGTCCTTCCTCTCCTCCAAAAAGGCCTCACCCAGCCCCTTCATCATGACCAGGGAAGGATGGGAGTCTTGTAAACTGGCTTCTTGCACATTCTGATGCTGTAATTCATGTAGCTTTAAACAACTTCATTAGCTCCAAAGCAGGACATGACAGCATCACTGAATTAACAGATAAAACAGGTAGAAGCACAAGGAAATTGTGGTGCCTAATTAACTTTAAAGTGAGCTTTACAGAACCCCTTCTGTAAGGCCTTCCTCTCCCCTCCCCGCCCCGCCCCACCCTTCCCTGTTCATTCCTCTCCCCTCACACCCTTTCCTTCTGTCTTATCTCCTTCTTCCTGGTTCCCTCCTTCCTTTGCTTTCTTCCTTCAGCCTTTTCTTCTTTCCATCTGCGTACCCCCATCTGCTGTGGAAAAGGCCTGAACTTGGCTGCAATTTATGGATCCTTAGCCTAGCACAGTGTGGAGAAGGGGTCCTGCGTGCAGTGAGGTGAGGGACCCTATCTCTGTTCAATTATGGGAAAAACACAGGCCCCATAACAGGCATCTGAAGAAATTCTACTCGTTCTTTAAGCTCTGTAGTTTGAGAGCCTTCCCACAGGGCTAGGTTGACCGCTCTGATTCCCCCCTTTACACCTATGGCACTCCAGTCCAGAGCAAGTCCCACACAGGGAGACCCTTGACCCTGCTGCTCACTGACGTCTCAGTGTCTTGTGCTCTGGGAAGCTCTTAGGGCATATGAGAACCTCAAACGGAAGCCCTACTCCCAGAATATACAAATTGTCAAATGCTATTAACTCAGTGCATTCTTACAGCTACATGGTATCTGCACAGAAGACCTTAGACCCATAGTTTCCAGTCTCCAAGAGGCTCCCTTTTTGACATGAAAGCATTTTGAGGTTACTATGCCTGACACATACTTTGGGCATACTGTCAAGAGGAAATACTTTTGATGGAAAAAGACATCATGTTGGGACAGGTGGATGGTCAGAGAAAGAGAGGAAGAACTTCAACAGATAGATTGACATACTGACTGTAACAGTGGGCTTGGGCATGTCAGAGAGGCCCCCTAGGGAGCCTGGGGCCTGGAGAACATTGGCCACTCACAGCCATGAAGCTGTTGTATCTGTGGAAAGGAGGTGGGAGAGCTGTTCTCTGTGCCTCTTAGACGTCCACTGATGGGGGAAACACAGTAACAACACACTGCCGTGGATTCAGGGATGCTTTTACATGAATTGTATTAATTGCATCTGGTTGTAGAGGAGAGTCTCCTACCCCCAGTACTTGGTACAGGGGAGATCGGAGGCTCTTCCTCAGACAGTGAAGTTCTGCCTCCCACTGCACAACAGACCTGGGGATTTCAACAGCTACATTCTGAAGAATTCCATGGTGCCAATCCCAAGAACTGAAAGATGCATCCAGAACGGAGAAGAAGCCCTTCCCCAGGGCCACGTCCTGCTGCTCATCTAGGATTCAACACGTGTGAGGCTGAAAGTCTGCTGTGTGAGATCTCTCTCCACCCAGGGGTAAAACAAGGCTGCCAGGTCCCCACTGGCAAAGAAACCTATGCCCTCGGGAGGCACCCCTTTCCATGCAGAGGTGTCATTTCCCAGAGAATGGCATTTGCAGCCTGCATCCAGATGCACAGTTGAGCTGTCGCAGGGAGAGAGGCACTTCCGTCCTGTCCGGTGCAACACAGAAGGACTGGAGGCCGGACAGTAGGCTGCATGCCCCTCCCACCCTCCACCACTCTGCAGCAGCTCTGCCCTCCCTCCCTGCCCTTCCCTGCCAGCCCAGGTGGGCTTGTAGGATTCTAGCCTTCTCTAAATTGGTCCCAACGCTCCCCTTTTGCTGGGAGGGCCGGCTCTGTTCACTGGCCTCAGGGTCTCCCCTTTCTTCCTCTTTCTCACTATCTCTGTCCTTATAACAAGGCTGACATGATTTCTAAACTAATACTGCTCCTCTCTGGTCTCTGCTATTCTCCTTCCAAAACTAATCCTGTCTCCTGAGCCCAAGTGTTCCACTCACCTAATGCATGTCAGACAGGAGCCTTGTGGCCTGGGAGGAAGCCCCACCCCACAGATGGGGCTGTCAGCCTTGAGCCTTTTTAAATTCTTTCTTACTTAGCCTTTGAGTTGCCATCACCCCAAAGCATATTTCCTCCAGCTTAGCCTAAAAAGCAGGGGGTTTGTGGTGAGTTTGTTGTTGTTGTTGTTTTTCTCTTCCTTCTTATGGAAAAATTCCACCTGTTCCCCTAATAAGCCTGTCTGTCAGACTGAGGGTTATTAAATCAATTTGTTGGGTCACAATTAGCATTTAATTTTCAAAATGAAATCCATCACAGTACATGAAAAACACCACAGCGTATCACATAGTGATAATAAATGTAATTTTGCAAAGCGTTGCTTTCTGTGACGCATATATGTGTACATAATATGAAATAACCTGTTGAGTTCATCTGCTGTGTACTAGGGTGGGAGGACCTGGGAGGACCCACCCACTGTCAGGGTCCCTGAAATCACCTCCCCAAAACTAGACTAGTTGGCTGAGATCTAGAGAGGGCTGCTGGCTCCGTGGCTATCAAGGGCAGGCATAGATCACTCCCAGCATCCACAGCCTCCATGCCCCATGAAGGGCTCACACTTGCTCCAAAGTTGGCTTCTCTTTCCTAAGATGTCAGAGAGGAAGGAAGCCCTTCACCATTTGGTCCTCTCTTATCCCTACAAGCTCATCTCCGTGCTGTTGTTATCAGGTGCCATCAAATTGAGTACAATTCAGAACAGTCTTACAGACAACAGATGTGAACCTTCCCCTAGCCTGTGCCGTCCTCACTGTCTCTGTCAATCCATCTTATTGAGAGTCTTCCATCTTTCTAATCACCTTTACCAGCATGGTGTCTTTCTAAGGTCTGGTCCCTACTGACAACATCTCCTGCCACACTCCACTTCAAGTCACAAGTCAGCCACACGGGACTTTTAAAAACTTTCAGGGTGTGATTCTCCTGCCTCCTGCCCTTTGCACATATTGTTTCCTCTGCCTGCTTTATGTTTCTCCTTGACCCGTGGTAGTCACTTTCGAATCACTTCTTCCTAGAAGCCCTCTCTGACCTGTCATGTCTGGGTTTCTCCTCCACGTCCCCCTCTGTGCTTGCCTCTATCTGTTCTGCATTGCTCCCCCTTCCCATCGCCCTCACCTCCCTGTCCTCTGATGTGAGTCTGTCTCTCTGGCCCCCAGGCATCCGCTGTGACAGCACTTGTCCACCTGGTCGCTGGGGCCCCAACTGCTCCGTCTCCTGCAGCTGCGAGAATGGTGGTTCCTGCTCCCCGGAGGACGGAAGCTGCGAGTGTGCCCCTGGCTTCCGGGGACCTTTGTGCCAGAGGAGTAAGGCTGGTCCCCCACCCTTGGATGTCACATCCTTCCCACCACTTCCCAGTTTGATTTGGTCCTGCCATGACACCACCCAAGAGAGGCTGAACTCTTAGGGTCATCCCTCCCCAGTTTTCTCTTTATTATCCTCTCCCCCCATCCCTGGTGCTTTGTCCCCAAGCCCAGGGTACAGACAGCAGATTGCAGCTCCTCTCTTTAGAAGGATAGCCCCTTAAGGCGTGGGGAGTGTGTCTCTCTAACACTCTTGAGGAGCCTGCCTTCAACCCTATATGAGCCCCAAGGGGTGGCCAGCCCAGGTTGGGCCCCGTAAGCCACTGACCGTGTCTCCCCTTCACCTCCAGTCTGCTCCCCTGGGTTCTATGGCCATGGCTGTACCCAGCCTTGCCCCCTCTGCGTGCACAGCAACGGGCCCTGCCACCACGTCAGTGGCGTCTGTGAGTGCCTCCCTGGATTCTCAGGAGCCCTCTGCAATCAAGGTATGGCTCCCAGGGGAGTGAGGGCTCCTGGGAGGGAGACATTTTGGGGTTCCCATCATGCTGCGTTGTGGAGGCACCCTTCACCTCTTTAGGGCTTAGGTCTGTCTTTCTGGGAGATAGGCGCCAGGTGGAGTGAGACAGAACCATTATGCTGTCAATGAAATGGGCTCAGAGAAGTTACGTGATTTGTCTAGGGTCTTACAGCTAGCAAGTGGCAGAGCTGAGAAACAAGTGCTGTGCCAAGCGGCGAAGGCAGAAAACACTGTGGGAATTCAGTGCAAAGGGTTCTGGGCTGGGTGAAAGATGGCAACATCCCAGCCCTTCTGCCCTCAAGCTCAGGCACTAATCCCCCACAGTGCCCTTCCTGTGACACCTCCAGACCTCTCCTCAGCACCACGTCCAGGCACGGCTGCGCTCACCAGGAGCTGAAGAGAGACATCAAGCCTGTCTGCATTTGGTGTGCTGCCAAGCCCTGTTTCTGATTTGTAGCATTTGCATATTTCCACGATATAAATATTTCCATCCTGGTGAATCCCAAATTACCAGTGATTTAACCATTGGCAAAATTCCTGACTATTTAGCAGTCAGCATGTTGACAGGAGCTGGCTCTGTCTGGCACACCACTGCTGGTTGGCATCCCTGGTTTTCTTACACCAGGGCTGTGTGCATTTGGGGGAGGGTTCTTTGGGCTATGCTAGGCTTTTATCTGAAAGGTGAGAAGAGAAGATAGGTATTGAGGGTAGAGGAAACAGCCTGGGCAAAGCACTGAGGCATGCAGCAAGGAATGGTTGAAGGCTGTGGTGGCTAGGGATGGGAAATGGGCTGAAAACCTAGGTCGAAGCCTTTAGAACAGTTTCTAAAAACAAAAAGCTGCAGAAAATTTCACTCTAGATTCTAGGAAACAAAAAGTTATGGGATGAGCCTGAGTTAGTTCACTCAGCATAATGCTCTCTAAGCTCTCCCATGTTATATAGTATTTTTCTAAATTGTTGCTCCTGAGTGCTGTATAACACTCCATCATGTGAATACACCACAGTTTCTCAATCCATTCATTTGTTGATAGATATTTGAACTGTTTCCACATTCTTGGGATGGTGAAAAACACTGCTATGAACACTGGCGTACAAATCTCTTGTGTCTCAGTTCTAATTTTCTTGAGGTATATTTGTAGCAGTGGGATAGCTGGGTCATATGGGATTTGTATGTTGAGCTTTTAGAGGAAACACCCAACTGCCTTTCAGAGTTGTTTCCCCATTTTACACTCCCACCAACTGTGCATGAGAGTTCCAATCTCTCTCCATCCTCTCCAACAGTTATTGCTTATTGTCCTGTTAAACTTTGCCACTGTCACTGGGGTGAGACGGTGTCTTATTGTGGTTTTTATTTTCATCTTTTGGACTGACAGTGATTTTGAGCATTTCTTCATGTGTCTGCTGGCCCTCTGAATGTCTTCCTCTGTGAAAAGTCTTCCCATGTCTTTTGCCCATCTTGTAACTTGGTTATCAATAGTGCATTATGCTGAGTGAACTAAATCAGGCTCATAAGGACAAATACTGCATAAGACCATTTCTGTGAAAACAAAAGGATAACTACTAAGATCTATATAAATGTCCGGTGATGGAAGAGGTGGGGGCAGGAGGGTGGAGTGTAGGGAGTGAGAGAAATCATAAGGTAGAAGAATTTGGGGGATGGATGGAGGAGGCAAAAAGATTTATGAAAAATCCAGTAAGGATCTGAAAAGATGGTGTAATAGTGGACATAGGTCAATGGTTATGGGAATGATCTCATGGAAACACAATGTGAATGGGGAAAAAAACCCCAAAAATAAATTTTAAAATATACCATGGGATCAACTTAAAGCTAAAAGCAAAGTCTCAGTGATTAAAATGGTTAATGGGCTAAGCTCCTAGCCTAAAGATTGATGATTTGAGTCCATTCAGAAGCACCTCAGAATAAAAGCCTGGCAATCTGTTTCTGAAACAGCAGCCTTGGAAGCCCTGCTCTCACACACATGGGGTTGCTGTGAATCATAGTCCACTCGATGGCACCTGGAAGCAAAACTCAACTTCAAGGTCATCGGTATACAAGAATCTCATCAGACCTCTGCTCAAATACTTCCACTGACGGAAAGCTCGCTACCTCCAAGGGAACCCATTCTGTTGGAGAATAATCACCCTTGAGCTGGGCTATTTTTTCCCCCCATGTGTGGGCTGTTAATATGTATGAGTGGAAAGTTTACTCCATGATGCTTTGAGGTCATGAGGAGTTTGGGCCCCAGGGAAACAAATGTGACAGTTTCATTTGCTTGCAGTCCTCCTAGGACAGTTTAATCATAACCTGACGCATCGAGGTTTACTTATTAAACATCGGAGACCCAGACATCAATACAGATAGGCCGGGTCTAAATTAGGACTGAGGCAGCCCGAGGAGTTACTCTCAGATCCTGTGATGTCTGATTTATCGCCCGCTGGCCTAATGAGTATTTTCCACATATAGATCTAATAGAGTTTGCTATTAATGGCAACTGCCCTGGTTAAGTCTCAAACCTTGTAAAAAATTGAACTGACACTTTCTAATGACTGGCTTTCCAGAGAGTTACAAATTACAGACACTGCTTATGCAGAATCATTAAACATAGATTAAATATAACCAGATGTTTTCTTTTCACCAACCTCCCCCCCTTCTCTCCTCCACCCCTCTCTTTGCCTCGCTCTTGATTCAGCTAAGAAGTGGACCAATTAATGTATTAGACTGATCACATTAGCAGCTCTGTGGGTGAATTTGTCAGCCGTGTGTGTGTGTGTGTGTGTGTGTGTGAGAGAGAGAGAGAGAGAATGTGAGAGAGAGAGAGAGACTTGAAAGATAAGACTGGCTCGTTAGAGACTGCTCAAGGCAGGTATTGGTGTTGGTGCTAAGTGAAACAGACCTGGCTCCCACAACAGGACAGGATAGAGGAGGGTGTCCCTAAGTCAAGACTCTCCCCACAAGCAGAGACAAGGGGGCTGGAGCACCTACTTCTCAGGAGGTTGAAGCATTTGGAGCTCAGGCTGCAGGCAGATGAGACCTGTGCCATCTTCTGGGCCATAGACATACCTGGGAGGGAGCCAGAGAGTTTTATTAAAAATTCAGAGGAACTCAAGGGAGCCCTGGTGGCCTAGTGAGTGAGGAGCTGCACTGCCAACACAGAGGCAGGTAGTTTGAATTCACCTACTCGTCTGAGGGAGCAAGATAAGCAGTGTCTTCCTGTATGATTTACAGCCTTTGAAAACTCACTGAAGGGTTGTCAGCTATGAGTCAGTTCTAACAACAGAGCCTAGATTTAGCTGGCCTACCCAAAGCAATTGCTTGTGGTCCGAGGTCAGTGGGTCAGATGATCATTCTCATTTCAAACAAGAAACAGAGACTGAGAACGGTGATGTGATTTGCTCTCGGGTAACCAATAAATGACAGAACTTTTTAGCTGCGTGTCCTCGGGCAAATTACTTCTCAATGCCTCAGTTTCTCTACGGTTGAGTTAATAACAGGGAGTAATATTTAGAATATATAATAATGAGGAGATTAAAGGTTGCATGACCTATTTGTGAAGCATCCTGAACAGTATGTTTAAGTTGAACACATAAATAAAATTGGAACCCAAGTGGAAGACTTTGGGCTGCGGAGCTTAGGACACTGTGCTGTCTTTCTTATTATTCCAAGTGTTAGAAAAAAGAGTTGAGGGCAAGAGAGAGAAAGAAGCTGGTCCCAGGAAATAAACAGGCCTTTTTTGCATGGTCTGAGAGGGACTGGGGCTGTGGAGAAGGTCAAAATGGCACAAGGGTGGTTTCTTTTATAGAGGTTTTAGGGAGGACTAGGAAATGTGGTATTTTGCTTGGAATTTGGGGTGCGAGTCCTGTTCATTAACTTGGGTGTGGGCTTTTGTGATCAGGCCCAGAACCTTATCAGGATCCTGTCTCTGCTCTGGTCAGATCATCAGGCCTCTTCAAGAAAGGATCAGGCCTGAGAGCAACTATGACATTCTTCCTCCATTAAGAGTCTAGAAGCAGCCATACTCTGGTTGGAGGGAGTTGAAGATTTGAAGCAGGGAGGACTGAAGGACACTTAACCAACCCCAGGTTTCAGAGACCTGGACAATTTTATTATTTTCAAGAATCGACTCTTTCCCATAATCCTCCAAGTGTTTACCCAGAGATACCAGTAACAGGGAGGCAAGGAGACCTTTCTCAGGCATGCAGGACTGGCTGGAACTAGGCTTTGAGGGGTGTGTGTTGAACTAAGAGAAACTAAAAGGGATGGAGGTCACTTTGGAAAGTCACTGCTTCCCAGGTCTGTTTTGGTCACATTGGAAGTATGTGTTGGATGTTGGGGACCACGCAGGCACTTAGACACCAGTGAAAGATGATAGCTGGAGTCCAGCCATCTTATCCACACAGTTCAACATAGAAAACAGGGCCAGTAACATGCGTTTCCACGTACCACTAACCAGAGTGTAGTCACATCGCCCTATCTAGCTGAGCAGGAGCCCAAGAAGGGAATCTTTATCCCAGCTTCCTGTAGTCAGCTGAAAAACAAGACTTTAAAAGGAGGAGGAGAATTGATATATGGAGGGACACCTAGAAGGATTGTGGAGGGTGTGGGTTTTAAGATGAGTCTTACAGGCCGGTGGTATTTTCACAGCTAAGCGTGAAGGGGAGGGAAATTCTAGAAGGGGACAGGGAGAGAAAACCAAGGAAGAGGAATGGCCTGGGTGTGCTTAGAAGGTGAGGGGGTCATGTGCTCATGGACCAGGGTGAAGACAACTAGTGGAGGACAACTCAGGTGTGGAAGGCTGAGCCACTAGTGACCTCTAGGACCCAAAAGGTATTCGGGGACAAATGCAGAGCCCCCGGAAGCAAGGGTGTGGGAGTTCGTGAGCAGAGCTGTGCATTAGATCTCAGACTCTAGGAGGCAGGAGAGGGGAGATGCAGTGGAGGTGAGAAGTGGGTGCTCGATTAGCACTCAGACCCAGCCCAGGTGGTGGTGCACTGGTTAAGCACATGGTCACAAACCAAAAGTTTAGTGGTTTGAACCCACCAAGCACTCTGGCACTCTGCTCCAGCAAAGATCACAACCCAGAGAGCCCTCCTGATTCCTATAGGGGCTGAGAGTCACAATCAGTTCAATGGCACACAGACAACAGCGGTCCCAAAGCGTTCAGCACTCAGTCAGTCCATAGACCTTGTCCTAATGGAGCAGCTGGATTGAGGACAACAGTCCTTTCTAGGACCGAGGAGTTGACCCCACCATGAGGGGCTGAGTTGATGATTCTAGAAGTGACCCGGGGAGCTCAGTGGAGGAGAGAGAGGGGGTAGTGGACCCTGAGGGCTTCCTGAGAGGGGCTGGGCTGAGGCACAGGTAGAATTTGGAGAGACAGTGAGTGGGAAGAGGTGGACGGGAGCAGACATCCAGTGTCAGCCCTCCAGCAGTCTAGCCACAGACGGGCCCCCGCGTGTGCACCAGCCCCCTGGTTTCTGGTTGTAAGCCCTCTGCACCATGTGGCTGTAGAATCGGGGATGCTGGCAGAGGCTGTGGGGATGGAGGGCAGAGAGGCCACGAGTGATGCAGGTGGCGTTAGACAGAAAATTCCAAGGTGTAATTCTCAGCCGTGTTGCTGCTTAACTATAAGGCCTAAGTCACGTTAACCCATTTCTCTGCACCCTAGTCTGTTTCTCTGTCAAGAGTGATCATTACAGGGCCTCCTGCAAAGGGTGGGCACGAGAGGGACAATAAAGAAGGGTCCTGGGGATGCTGAGGTAGAGAGTCCCCACCCATACCTGTCATGGCTGGGCCTGGACACTCCTGGGGTTTCAGCAGTGGGCGGGGGTCTGTGGAGCACAAGTGGGAGGGAAGTTGGCAGGCTGCTTTGTTCCCACAGTGTGTGCTGGAGGGCACTTTGGGCAGGACTGTGCCCAGCTCTGCTCCTGTGCCAACAATGGGACCTGCAGCCCCATCGACGGCGCCTGCCAGTGTGTCCCTGGGTGGATCGGCAAGGACTGCTCACAGGGTAAGCCGCTGCCCCCCACAGGGCTCCAGCCCCTGAAACGCCTCCTCCCTTGCCCAGAACCTCCCTGTCCCTGGTGCCTCCGACTCCCAAGACTGACATCTTCAGCAGACTGGAATGTCTGTCTGCCTGAGTCCTAGTTAGCGCTTTGGCTAATATTATTAATGCTTAGGATCGATCATTAGTATTATTAACTGCAGGAAGGCAAGGTACTGACATTGTTGATTGTATCATTAATGTTATTAATACTGAGAATTATTATTTTTTTTAATACTGAGAATTAATACCCCATTAGCACTGAGCAAGGAGCAGTCCCTGAGTGTGGATGGGAAGGAGAAGGGCCCACAGGCTGGAGCTGGGGAGAGGGGGTGGCCAGGACAGCCCCCTAAGGCCTCAGTGAATGAGGTCCTGGGCATCAGAAGCCTGGATGGGGTATTTCATGGGATGATCCGGTACAGTGTACCCCGTCTGATGGAGGTGGTCAAAGTCCCTCCCCAGGCCCCAGTCTGAGGAGAGGAGCTCAGCCTCTGCCCTTTGGAGCTCCTTGTCTGGTTGGGGAGACCCAGCAGTGCCCCCAAGCAGGTCCCAGGCAGATGGCCTGCCCTCTCCCCTGCCCTGGAATCTTCATTCCAATGGAGGAGGGGATCCTCCTTACAGCCAGATGGGGTGACCTGGACGTTTTGCTTAGGGACCTCACCAGGAGAGGATAACCCCTTGTCCTGAGAATGTCCCCAGTGTCACCCAGGAGTTAGCACCCACAGTACACACACCCCAACCACAGTGTTTATGGAGTTGACCACACATTCCTAACCCCAGAGTCAGTCACTGGAAGTGAGCCTACAAGCCCTGGGAGCGGTGGGGTTCCCACTGCCTCGGGGAGCAGGTGGACTGGGAGCTTACTGAGCCTCCTAGGCGACCTGGGAAAGAGGTGGCTTGAGAAATTCTGGGAATGGTGTTTCAAGCCCCTGAAAATAAAGAAGCGCCACCCCCACGCCCCCACCCGGAGCCATCCTGGCCTCCAGGGTCTGACATGTACTCCCTTCCCCTCCCCCTCTTTCCGTCTGCCCCCTCTGCCCTCACCCTCGGCCCCCCACCCCCCCTCCAGCCTGCCCACCCGGGTTCTGGGGCCCCGCCTGCTTCCACACATGCAGCTGCCACAACGGGGCGCGCTGCAGCGCCGAGGACGGGGCCTGCCACTGCACCCCTGGCTGGACCGGACTCTTCTGCACGCAGCGTAAGCCCCGCCTCCCGGCCGCCCCGCGCCGAGCCCAGTGCCTCGGCCTGCTGGCCACGGGGGGCAACAATCCAGCCTGCCACCAGGGGGGAGGGCACCCCGCCCAGGGCTTTGAGCTCTGCAGGGCCGCTCCGAGGCCAGGCTGCAGTGGGGTTTGAGGGACCAGACCCTCCTTGCACAGTGGGGCCGGAGTGTGGCCGCACAACAAGGAGGCCTCAGCCTGACCCCAAGGCCCCTTTGCCTGAAGAACCTTCCCCCCCCCCCTTTTCAGCCGAAGAGGGTCAGATCACGTAGGAGGCTCCAGGGCTTCGCCCTATTACGAAGAAGAGGCCCAAAGTCCCGGCTGCACCTCCGTGGCTGCCCCCACGTGGCTGCAGCCGCTGTGACCACCGCTCCTGTTCCCCCAGGCTGCCCAGCAGCGTTTTATGGGAAGGACTGTGGGCGTGTGTGCCAGTGTCAGAACGGCGCCAGCTGTGACCACATCAGTGGACAGTGCACCTGCCGAACAGGCTTCACCGGGCGGCACTGCGAGCAGAGTAAGAAGGGTGTGATGCTGGGCCTCGGCCCGCTGCAGGGCAAACAGGCTGAGGAATGCACCCATTCTCTGCTGGCTTGGAAAGTTTCCTCCTTCAGTTGGGGTGGAGATCAGAAAGCGTAACAGGCCAAAAGCCTTGAGGAAGGGAAGTGGGCAGTAGAGGACACAGGGATTTGCTTGACATGACTTTGAAGATGCTGTGGTATCAGGGGCTGCACGGGCTGGTTGTGTAAAATGATGTGTCATGTGAGGGATGTGAAGCAGTGATGGGCCGGCCCTGCACCTGCCCCCTGCCCTCTGTCCTTTTCCTCAGCTCCCCTTCAGGGCTGTGAGGTTTCTGTCCATTCCCTAATATCAATATCAACACAGCACAATGAGAGCAGCGGGAGATGAGCTTTCCCTGAGTGTGAGGAAGAACTAGCCAGCCTATCATCCCAGCTTTGCAAATGTGGAGCCAGAAGGGCGGTGAGCTCCCCGGTGCTGCCGTGAGAAGCATGGGTGTCGACTGTAACTCTTGGTGTCCACAGGATGTGCCCCAGGAACCTTTGGGTATGGGTGTCAGCAACTGTGTGAGTGCATGAACAATGCCACCTGTGACCACGTCACCGGCACCTGTTACTGCAGCCCTGGATTTAAAGGCATCAGATGTGACCAAGGTAATACCCAGACAGCAGAGTCCTCAGCCAGGGGGACCATGGGTAGGTTGTCTCAAGGAAGGAAGAAACCCCCATGAAGATGATTCCAATTTGAGAAAGGATTTCCATTTGCAACACCTGGATTTTATGAGGACACCATGTTGTTAAGTCCTGTTGAGTACAACTCACAGCAATCATGTGAAAATCAGATCTGAGACCTGCTCAGTGCTGTGCCCCCGCTTCTCATCTGCACATTTGGGGGGAGAGGCGAGGTGGGTGGGCTGCAGTGGGGCTGACAGGCTCTTAGGTAATGTTTTGTTATGCTCACTGTTGCTGAGTTTCCCGTGAGGTAAGCGAGGGGATCCACCAGGCCAAGGGCGAGAACCAGCTAGGTTCTGGGTCTGCCACTAGGAGTCCATGGGCAGGCCACGTCCTTCACTGGACCAGTCACTTCATGTTCAAAATGGTTGTTGTTATGAGTAGGTAAATCCTTGTGGTTCACATGCAAGAAGTTTCTTATGAGGGATATATTAGGGTCCCAGATCCCTCAAGGGGCTCCACCGTGGCTCAGCATTGCAGTCAGGCAACACCTCACGGCACAGTTGTGAGGATCAAGTGACATAATGTAGGTAAGAGACGCAGTCCTGCACACAGCACCCAGTGAATGGTGGGCTCATGTATATGAAAACCCTCTAAGCTGCAAACACATAAGGGATTTTATTGCTGTTGATCCTAACAAGCCCAGGTCCTCTTTTCAGAAAAGGAGCCAGAAGACACTTCAGTTGCATTCTGAGGTTGTAGCCCCGAGACTGACAATGCAGCGTGCTGGCCTTCCTGGTGAGGCTGGCCTGCTCCGACCACGCTGGGCAGCCAAAGCCAGCAGGCATGGAGAGGCCCCACCGGCACTGCACTGCCTCTGCCTGTGGTGGTCTGTGAGCCGCCGCTGGGCTGCTAGAAGAGGGATTAGTTCACACACAGAAAACCACAGGGGACAGCGGCTGGTGTGCAGAATCTGGCTGGACTGCCACAGTCATCAGAGCTCCCAGTGTCCTTCCTGCCAGGCTGTCATGTGGTCTCACACAGACCTCCCACCCAGGGCCATAGGATCATTGTCCCCATGTGCCAGAACCCCGTCAGAATGACAAAGCTCATAAACAGGAAAAGGCCGCAAGTCCAGCTTTTCCTAATTCCTGAGAAACCAGGACTCTTCCTGTTACCAGCTGTGTGATCCTGGGCAGTTACCTAACCCTTCAGTGACTCTTTCTTCATCTGTGACGGGAATAATGAAAAAGTCCCTGTTTCACAAGGTCCTTGGGGAGAATCACACACACGTTAATGCCTCTAACTCCCCTTGAGAACACAGAACACCAGCTGTTTTGTTCCACATTCACCATCTCTGCTCTGCACCATGACCCCAGGATCCCTCCTTGCTGGACCATAGAGAAAACCGAGGCACCGTAACAGGGTCACACAGGGATTACAGAAAAGGGGCTATGACCAGAACCAGGCTTCTTTAATATGCTAGACAGGCTGGGCTCCGGGCTGAGGGGGCTGGAGGGTGAGGGAAGCTGCCTGGGCTCAAGGGGCCCCTCTACCCACAGCTGCCCTCATGATGGAGGAGCTGAATCCCTACACCAAGATCAGCCCGGCGCTGGGCGCAGAGCGGCACTCCGTGGGCGCGGTCACGGGCATCGTCCTCCTGCTCTTCCTCATCGTGGTGCTGCTCGGCCTGTTCGCCTGGCGCCGGCGGCGGCAGAAGGAGAAGGGCCGGGACCTGGCTCCCCGTGTCTCCTACACGCCTGCCATGAGGATGACCAGCACTGACTACTCCCTCTCAGGTAAGGGCTGTTCCCTCTCCCCCGCCTAGCAGCCCAGGGAGGGGGAGACCACATGCACCCTGGGGACACCCTGGTCTGCTGCTGAAGGTGGTGGCAGAGGCTGCGGGGCAGGCTGCTGGGACTGGGTGCTTCAAGTCCCCTAGATATGCGGGAGTGGGGAGCAATGTCTGGAAAGGTGGATGGGGTCCCTGAGAACATAATCTCCTGGGCCCCTAATCTGAGCAGCTGTGGTTGCGAGCCTCCTTCATTTCCCCAGGTTTTCCGCACTCTGTAGCCTTGGCCACTGGGGCCCCATCACTAGGCACTTTCCTAACCTGCTCCAGAGAGAAGCCCCTCTCCTATCTGACCCCTGCGCCCCATTTTTGCTTCCCTAGTGAAGGCCTCGGGCGCAACCTGGTCGTTCTCTGACACAAGAAGCTGTTCTGAGTTAGAACTTAGGACAGCGGGAGGGAGTGGTTCCCAAATAAGGGGCCGGGGGTGGCCTGTCACCTCCATCCATCCAACTGTGACGACAACTCCAGAGGACATTCTGAGAGTCTGTGTTGCTGGGTTGGGACTTCCTCTACCCTGAAGATTGACTGCTGACTTGGAAATAAAAAAGGCTTTTCGCTTCATATTTAGCTAAACAGTAGTGTCCAAATGCTCTGAGCCCGCCCACAGCCCTGCTCCCCTTTGGCTCCTCACCAGCAGACACACGTGAGGAAGGCTGGGCCTGCTTGCATGAGCACAGGATGGCAGTCTCCACACGGCACTGTAGGATCCACAGGCATTGGCCAGGCACAAACCCTGCCTTCCGAGAGCTCTTACCTATGATGCCCTGGTGTTGCAGCCAGAGCAGACGTCCTCTGATGAAGGGCCAAGTCCACACAGATTTGGGGATTTTCCTCCATGACTGTACAGTGATCAAAGCCAAGGTGGCTGGGTTTCCCCATGCCATTCTTCTGGAATTTCCCAGCCTTGTGGAAAGATCCTGGAATCCTCAAAAGGGCTCGAGGGAGAAAGCCTGGGGTCTGTATGCCAGGGTCAAGAGGAGTGAGAGGTGGCTTGATGGGCTCACTGCTTAGATCTGACTCCAGCAGGTGGGTAGGGGGAAGATGAGAGGAGGGTTGGGCTAGTCCTCTGGGAAGGCTGTGTTATCCAAACCAACACTCCTTGCCATCCTTGAGCTGCTCGCACCACCGGCTACACTGGCAGGCCTTGCCTGCGTCCGGCACATGCTTCCGGAGGAAGGTGACATAAGGGAAGGGACCCACCAGCCTCTGCAGGTCTTTGTGGGGAGACAAGCATCAAGGGGCCCTGGGATCAGGGAGGACTAACAGTCTCTCTGCGAAGCACTCTCAAGGCTGCTTGCTGCCCAGGTGTTAGCATTGGGGTTATCTTGCGCCAGGGACAGGGGCATGATGGTATGTGGCACCTTGTTCTCTTCCCAGATTTGTCTCAAAGTAGCAGCCATGCCCAGTGCTTTTCCAATTCCAGCTACCACACACTGGCATGCGGGGGGCCTGCCACCAGCCAGGCCAGCACTCTGGACAGGAACAGCCCCACCAAGGTACCGGGCCCCTGACTCCTCAGCCCCCATCCGTTGTCCCCTCCTCAGCCTCCACCTTTGCCAGGGAAGGAACTGCACCTCCCAACATGAAGCGTCCATGTGGGAGCAATTGCCAGTGCATTAAACACAGTTCCATGATCCATGCGCATGGAAGCTGTAACGCATGTAACAGGGAACTAGCAGATTACATGGAGCCAACATGTGCCATGTAACTGGTCAGCATCATATGTAAACAACCTGTAGCACCACTAATATAACACATATACCCTATAACCTGTGTATAACTAACTGGTTATCAGCCATGTAATTGTCATGTGTAGCCTGCTTGTCACATATAACCATGTACACCGAGTTGTCACTTTTGCCATGTATTTCTAAAACATCACATGTACCCTAATACGGCACGTCATATCACCAAATGACTGCAGTATGTTACTAATATAATGTGTGCAAATGCCACATTATAGAGTCCCCACTATTACTCAGGTAACCTCCCACGTCCCTCATATGTGGACATACCACATGCTGGTAATATCTCACCCATAGCCATCTCTTGTGATCTGAGCCAATTCAAGGGTCACAGAACCCAAATATTAACTCCAGTAGGATGCTTGTGGACAGCGGGCCTGTGGCTCCTGGGGCTGGCTGGTGCCCCCCAGGACAGGGTCTTCCCTAGCACCTCTTAGCATCACCCCAGCTGATGGTAAGATATCCTCATAAAGTCACATAAAGACACCTCAGCTTGTATTGTACAGAATGTGTAGGGAGCCTCTTTGATGTGTCAGGGCCATGCCGGGCACACCGGGTAACAACAGCCTCAAGGCCACCAGCTCTTCTGGGCTCATATCCCACCCCTTCATATCCATGCACCACATGTACAGTCCCAGGGCCCTCAGCTCCCCGGTATCCAGGCCAACAGCAGAGCATTCATACTCCAGGCTTCTAGGGATCCTTTCCTCCACATCCACCCCACTGAGAATACCTACCCCACAGGCACATGTGTGTGTGCGCGCGCGCACACACACACACACTCTGGCACACGCTGTGGTCTCATGCAAGAGAGCCTGAGGCCCATGGACAGCTCTGCAGCTCCAGCCGCTCTCCCGCAACTTCAGCTTTCAGTTGGTCTGAAGAGTTAGAGGGAAAAGGGGCCTGGAGTTTGCCAGTGAGAGGTCACTGATTAACAATAGTTACAATATTGGAACTGCAGCAGGCTAGTGGCAAAGGCCCCATGTGGCTGAGTCGCCTTTGGTCTCATTTTGACAGGGAAATACCTGCTACTGCTTTCAATAGGGGCCCCAGTTCTTGGTGACTCTCTGGTTCAAGTCACCCAACAGGCCCACAGTGGCTCTGTGGTCTAGGGTCCCTGACTCTGGCAGATAAAGCATTTCTTTGTAGCAAAGGCAGAGAGTTGTGATGACACGACAGGGCACAGGTCTGGGAGTTGAGGCCTGAGTTCCACACTCTGCTCGGTCACTCACTCCTGTGTGACCCTGAGCATGGGCCAGAGAGCAGGACTCAGTTCCCATCTGTGAAGTGAGGTGAACTATCCTTCACTTGGATGAAGAACAGTTCTGAGAACCCAGAGAGGAGGACTCGAGCTTTCCCTGAGTTCCAGGAAACAGAGATTCTCACATTCATCAGGTCGAGGTGACAGAAATGCCGGTGATGCTGCAGGCATCCTTGGCGTCTCTTTCAGTGGTACAGATGGCACCATGCTGCAGCTGAGACCCTGCCAGAGCCCCTCCTGTAGTTCAGTGCTGCCCAGCTGACCCACCTCCTCTTAGGGCCAGCATGGCTCAGGGCAGGCCTTCCCTTTTGGGAGGCCCTAATCTCCTCCTGTGCAAATTACTGCCTCTAAAGACCTGCTGGAGGTTCAGCTGTGTTGTCTATTCCAGCACAATGGCACAAAAGAAAAATAAGCCCTCCTGTATCCCAAGAGACTAGAGAACCCTACAGCCTGCCTGGACAGGGTCTCTTCTATCCCCACCAGCCCCAGCTACACCACAGCCTGTCATTTTTCCTCAGTGGTCTTGGACTTCGATGTGTCAGGCTCATCACAGGGGAGGGAACCTGAGGCTGGGCGAAGGAGAGGCTGGGGAGGGGCACCTCACGGGCACTAGGTATTAACTGGCTCTCCTCTCCAAACAGCTCAGTAACAAGTCCCTTGACAGAGACACAGCAGGCTGGACCCCCTACAGCTATGTGAACGTGTTAGGTCAGTAGTGGTTTGAGTCTGGTCTCCTGCCATTATGTCTTATCCTTTACTCCTACTTCCCGCACTGAGAGGGGCCCTGTCTCAGCTCAAAGGGAGAGAATCCGATAAGCTTTGAGCAAGGTTTCTTCCAGGAAGAAGAGGTGTGGGAGGGAGGTACAGGCCCCTATTTCAGCTCTTATAAAAAGATAATGCCCAAGAACCCCTTCATTCCTATATTAGGGTTTAGAGAAGGGGTGGGTGTGGCTCAGGGAGACAGCTGGGGCAGATTATGGGGATTCCAGGTGGAGATTAATGGTCCAGGTACCACCTGGGAAAGGGACCCCGCCCCCTTCCTTCCTGGTTCAGCCCCTACCACGGTGATCTTGTTCCGGTAGTACTCACTCCTGACGGAGGTGGGAATTAGGGAGACTAAGTAGAAGCCCAACTCTAGGATATGCCCCTGGCCTCACTGGCCTTTGCCCTTTGAGTGCTACAAGTCCGTGATCCCTTCCAGCCTGCCCCGCCATGACCCGCTTCCCCACCCCCTCCCCTGCCGTACCAGGGCCCTGGGAATAATGGCTCCTGTCATTCCTCTCACTAGACTCCCATTTCCAGATCAGTGCCCTGGAAGCCAGGTACCCGCCCGAGGACTTCTACATTGAACTTAGACACCTCAGCCATCCCGCTGAGCCACACTCGCCAGGTCAGAGCCCCCAGCCCTACCTCCTGCTCCTTCCCTTCACCCTCTGGGCCCTTAAGACTATCATATTAGACCAGACCCAGCACCTACCCTACTCTTCACCCAATCCTCAGATTCCCAGAATTCTCCTTATTGACTCCCCTCCTCCCCAGTACAACTTGTCTCCAAGTCAAATCCGTAATCCAAAGGCGGCCTGCCTGGATCCTCCCTGTCACGTCTGTTCTCATCATGCCCAGTGTACGTGGACAATATGTGACTGGTATTAGATAGAGGGAACACGATATAGGAATACTCTGTACAGGCCACAGAATACAATCTCAAACCATTGAGAAATGACCTGGCGATGGTGTCACCTTTAGGGTCCTCTGGGTTCTGGCCCCTGTGGGTGTAAGTAATAGAGAGCTGGGTCTTTGGCAAAAGAGCCCGATGCCCCCCATGGAGACTCCAGATCTGGGGTGACGGTGGGGTATTGTCCATTAGGGATCCAGAGAGGCTGAGAAACAACATGTGACTTCCAGGCCAATGTCTTCTGTGCTCCTATAGCAGACTCAAACCTGGTGACTTGTGACAGAGGCAAGGAGACTTGGAAAGTCAGTCCTGACACAGAGGATGTGGGTAGGAGTTACAGAAGCAGGTGCCACAGGATTGAATACCATGAATGAACTGTCGCATCCCATAAAGTGGCCCCTGTAGGGGACTGTGGGATAGAACCGTAGTGCACCGGGCAGCCCCAGGCCTCAGCAGCTCTCGGTCTCAGCCCACGCTGTAGCTGGTTCCCAGAATTCAAGAGCAGTGCAGAGCCCCCAATCCCTGCAGGGCCCTGGTCCAACAGCTCTAGGAAAGGTCAAAGTACTGTCCCCCTTGGACAGGTATAGGCTGCAAGGAGGCTGGACCTGCATCCAGGAAGTTGTATTAGTGGCTCAGGCCCTCTGGCTAGTGTCTCAGGTATCCAGTAACCCACTACTCCCTCTCACTCGGATACTATCCCTTTCCACATGGGAGATCTGGGCTCAGTCCAGAGAATACTCCCTGTTTTGCAGATTTCAAATCAGATCTGGCTCTTCAACCAGCAGAGCTAAAGCCCCTTCACTTTATCATGTTTTGGCTTATTCCTAGGGAGGCTGGTAGCCAATGTAAGTGAATATTTGAGGATATCTAGGCCCTTGGCACAATTCACTTGCTGTAGTGGCCTTGGATCTTTGAGCATCTGTCTCCTCTTCTGTAAAAATGGAAAAATATAATAGTCAAGCCTCCCTCCTTCAGAAGGGGAGAGAAAGCCCTGGTTTAGTATAAAGTCCTGAACAGATAGATACCAGGAATACGCATGCTGCAGTCATGTTTCTGAAGGGCACAGGTATCCACCGGCCTTTTAGGAAATAAACTTGAAAAGCTGGACCTGGTTTAGCTGTATCACTCAGTAATGTGTGGAAGGCAGACAGGACTCAATTTGCCTGAGTTCTGTCAATTCTACTTGGGCTTTCCAGGTGGTGGGGTTTACAAAGGTACTTAAACAGCAATAGGTTTGCCCTTTCAGTGCTAGAAACTTTGGGGAAGAATCCATTTATAGTTTAGTACTTTCTGCACACTTGCTGGGACTGTGTCCCCAATTAAAGGCTGAACAAAAATGGCTTTGACTCTGAGCCAGAATCATTACAGTCCCAACCTGGAAATGACAGGCAGTTTTTATTCTGAGATCACCAGCAGCAAAGCACCTGAAATCAGTCTCTGAAGCTCTATGTCCTGACTGTAGCTGGGGCTCACCACCATGCACTGTGGGAGCCTAGGATAAACTGTGATGGACAAATGGAAGAAAGCCATCCTTGGGGCTAAAAAACTCCCATCAATAACACTTTTCAAAGACAATTGTCAATTATGTATAAATGGTTCATTCATAAAAAATGAATAAGAGAGCTGGCGGTGGACAGGAATGACTGTACATCCTGTAAGGCTGACTCATCAAGAACCTGAGCAGCCTGTTCTCCCCCCCCCTCTGGTGTCCCTAAGCTGAGCCTTGGATCCATGAAAGGAAGGACCAGAGCTGAGGAAAACCGGGTCTCCAACTCATTACAAAATCCAGTAGAACTGAGGGCTGGCACGCATACTGCCATACCCCTTCCTTTCTCTGCCCCAAGCTAAAAACTAGTTCTAGTTCATTTCTCATCCAGTAACTCTGGCGCCCGAAACTTCATCTGTGGCAACTGTAGGTGGCATCAGAACTGCCTTCTGCTTCCTTCTGGAAGACAATGCCCTCAGGCCTGGAGGTTAAGGAGGAAGAGTGCTGAATATGCATGGACACTGTGGCTCATTACTGTTCAGGAGTCCTTCAAGAACCTCTATCTTGTTCTAATTTATTAAGGGTAAACCCAGAACACTGTTGTTGTGATAAAGAACTTTATTTTCCTGGTAGTGGAAGAAGAGGGGTGGGGAGGCAGGAAAGGAGGGGAAAAACCAAAAAGGAACACTTGTAGTCTCCATAAACCTCACTCACTCCCACTCTGCTCTTTCCTTATATTATTTCTATGCAGGTGCTTGTGGAATGGATAGACGTCAGAACACCTACATTATGGACAAAGGCTTCAAAGGTAGAGTATCCAATCCTGACATCCCATCAGAAAGGGCTTAGCAAGACAAAGAGTGCAGATTTGAAATGTCCAGGAATTCCACTTGAAGGAAATCACACATCGCCCCCCAAATAAATAAAAGACCAAAGGACCTGGGGCTGCTGGGTAGCTCTGCCTGGGAAGAACAGTTGTAAAATTTCCTCTTCTCATTTCAGTTGCACCTGCTTAGCAAGTGCTTGTGGGCTTTTGGGTTTTTTGGTTACAAACTGAACCCCTTCAGAAATGTAGAACATCATTATCCAACCAATTAACACAAGTTAAATTGATTATAAAATCAGAAATAAAGTCAATCTACCTGCCCCCAGAGGCCTCTGTCGTCGTGCTGGGGAGGAACACTACCCTGCACCTAGGGCTTTTTGGGGCACAGAGAATGAAAATGATCCCCAGTGTTAGTGCTGTTTGGCTATCCACCCTCAAGAGATCTATGCCCTGAGAGCAGGGAAGCCAGAACCAATCATCAGCACACTGGCACTGGGGCTGCCACTGGTCAGCTGAAATCTACAGCTGAAGCCACGGGTGAAAGGTCCAGTCCTATCTGGGGCTCAGGCCCTAGGACTAAGTGACAGAATGTGTGACATAGGTAGTTTGGGAACCACATAAACATGGGTTTATATCCCTATTCTGTCACTTAGTAACTGTGGCCACAGACTCTCAGGTCTCTAGGCTGTTTCTTCCTCTGCAAAACTAGTGTTTATAATGCCTGTCCTAATGTCTAATAAGGTTATGTTGAAGGTCCAATAAAACCCCAAATGCAAGTGTTTTGATGTCTTTTGAAGGGTTGCACAAATGTAATAGGGCTGTCTCTTTGTCTCTAGGGTCTATTTAAGAGTCTCAGTCGAGCTGAAAGAAATCTGACTGACAACAAAGGTCTCACTGGATATTCTAAACCTGGCTGTGCACCAGAATCATCTGGGACGCATATTAAACATAGAGGTTCAGGTCCCGCCTCTCGGAGATTCTGATGCAGCTTCTAGAGCCAGGCTCTGGGATCTGCATTTGTGACGAGTACAACAGGTTGTTCTGACGCAGCGTATCACCTGACAGTCATTTACAAACCATGGATTAAACTGATCCAGATTCCTTGGATTACTCTTCTGGTCCTTCAAATCTAGCCTTAGATACTGACACCTGGACAATACTGTTTCCTGACCAGGGAGAGATAGTCGTCTACAGCCCTTCCTCGGGTGGTTTTAAGAAGTGGGTGGGTGGTGGTGAGAATTATGTTCTGAGACAGAAATCAGTAAGATCAGCACTTGTTAAGATGTGCAAAAGCCCACAGAACTGTCTGAGATCACGTCTAGGTCCCCAGCCAGCAAAAGGATGCTGCTGCTCCCTTGTCAGCCTCATTCTGAACTTTTTTTGGTGAGTTTTGCCTTAAACTATCCAAATGGGGGTATAAGAATCATTATAGTAGGTATAGCTAAACACAGAAAAGGACAGCTGGTGTCTAATCACTGGGACCTGAGATCTGTTTCTTCCTTAAAGAAGTAAAGGGACTGAGCAGAAGGATATCTGAGGGCCCTTCCAGAATATGCATGACTGACTCCAGTGTATGAGCTGAGACAGGCCCAGACACCTTAATAAATGAGCACATAACTTTCTTACGCACTTTGTTGTCCTGTGCACTGTGATTACGGTAGTGACTTTCACACTCATAACTGCAAATGTTAAGAAAAGCTGTTTCTTAGTCTAAGCATCATTTAGTCCTGTTTGGTGCAATCACAGATCGAGATTGGGAGAGAAGGGGGATCCTTCACAGGCTGGCAACCAGGTTTTATTTTACCACTTTGATTGTAGGCACCTTTTAAGTTAGAAAAGAGAAGTTGTGCAGGCAAATGTACTAGTAGGTATTGAGGACATCTGAACAATTCAAAGAGAAGAATATGGTATGTCACAGTCTGGAACTTTATAGAAAAACCAGAAACATGGCAGAAACCCCTAAAGAAACAGTAAATAAATGAGTTTGTACCAAGAATATAACTGTTTCCTAAAACTACTAGGCACAAACCAAATCATAATTGCTAAGACTGAAGGGTGCTGCGTATTCTCTGAACCCAGTGGGAGAATGGGTTCCCTGGGTCTTGGTTTCTTCTTCTTTGGGACAGAATGACACTCGCACCCTCTTAAAGGCCTCCCCAGCCCTGATATTCTAAAGTCTTAATTCCGTTAAGTGGCCCTGCCCCTTCCCCACTTGGAGGTTGAACAAGACCATTTACACTGCTGTGTTTGCCCCCGTTTCCCTCTAAACACTATCCTCTATTCCTTCTTACCCTCGGTGAGCTGATCCTCAGCACATTACCCATGTTCAATCCCTTACCTGTTGGGTCATTCAGAGTGCTATGGAAGAAGTCTTCCCCACTATCTCCATCACCTGATGGGGTCCATTTCATTGCTGTCATTTTCCCTACCTGGATATTCCTTGCTATCCAACCTCCAAGTCTGTTCTCAAAATCCTCTTAGGTTCTAAGGCAGTTAGAAGCCCACAGACATCCTGAAGTCACTTTACAGCCAGCCTGGTTCTCCTTCTGACCCTGCTCCTCACCAGAGTCACAGCCTCATGGCCAAGGCAGGATGACTTAAGAGCATCCTTCACGAGAAGAATGCTAACCCAGAGCCCAGAAAGAGAAGGTGCAGGTGACTGAGAATCAAAAGATGGCTGTCCTGTGCCAGGGCAGCTGAGCCTTCCCCAACAGTGAATTAAGGTGGTCCTTTAACTGGATGTTAAGTGTGACCTCCAGGCCTGAGAAGGTAGAGATCCCACAGTGAGCTCACAGGGTGGCCTTGCAAAGTCATTCTGCTCTCTGGATTTGTTGCTACATTTATAAAATGAAAATATTTAGATTAGCTCATTTCAGAGGAACCTTAAAAGGAGCCTTGGTGGTACTTGGTGGTACAGTGATTAAGCCTTCAGCTCCTAACCTTTAGCAACTAAAAAAGGTCAACAGTTTGAACCACTGGCAAACCCACAGAACAAAGGTGTGGCAGTCTGCCTCCATGAAGCCTCGGAACCCGAAGGGGCAGGTCTCCTGTTGAGCAGGGCCCTGAGTCAGAATTGACTAGCCAGCAACAAGTTCAGTCTCTAACAGTATGTAGTGGCGTGTGATCTTTGTTAGGCAGCAACGAGAAATCAGGAGATGAGAGCAAATGCTGGGGCAATATAGGACTAAGTCTAATGCTAATTACAGGCCTGGATTCTTAGAAGAGTGACTGGGTAAAGCTTGGGTACAGTTCATGCTTCCTTTTTATGCAAAATGCCCTTAAGTGCAGGGACTGAGGTGCGGGTGGGGCTGTAAAAAGATGAGGAAGTGCCTGAACAGCTGGCTGGTCGTCCCCACTCCAGCCTCACTCAGCGCAGGCCTGGGAGTGACTCAGGGAGAAGCAATGGCTGTCCAAGGTGGAGTTTCCCCCCTTGCCCTGCCCTGCTCCCCACTACACCACCTCACAGTAGAGAAGGAAGCCATTGCCAGATCATTCCATAGTATAACAACTGCCCCTCAACCACTTGCCTAATCTCTTTCCCCTAATCCCAACTTCCCTTTTATGCTTCTGGAGTCATCCTCAGCCTTAGCGTAGGACAAATAGTCCTGAAAACTTGAAAGCAAGTCTGCCTTTTCTGATGAAAAGGAGAAGAAAGGCATTATTGACTGGTAAAGCTTCTGACAGATTTAATGAGCCTCAAGGTTCCCCCACTGCCACAGATTAATTGGTCTTGGGGTATCCACAGCAGCTTCATTTACCCTTAGCTTCTGTGTTTCTCAACCCAGGCTCACTCCATAGATGGAGTATTCCCTGTTTTGTGTAAGGTAAACTGCTTTAGATAAGAGTTTTCATTTAGAGATACAGAGAAGAAGCATTTGGTAATGATATTGTTGGGCATTAGAGAAGATAGGAGTTGAGTCCTAACTTACCTACCTACTAATTGGGAATCATCCCAACAAACTTTCAAGGCTTCAGTCTTTTCATTTCTCAAGTAGTAGTAATGCTCCTTCTTGCTCAGTGCCTTCACAGAATTAAGTTTCAAACAGAGCTATCCTCGAGTTTTAGACAGTGTGCAATTGAGGCAGCTATCAAATGCGAAATAAAAAAACTGTGTGTCTGGAAGGGAGACAGGAGCGGTGTCAGGAAAGTTCTCCCTTGGGAGACAGCCCTAGTTGGCAATAGTAGTCCTTAGCTTCCAACAAGAATCTCTGAGCAAGACTGTCTTTGGTGAGAATCCAAAATGGGACTGACAGGCCATGTTAGGGTTCCCAGCTTATTTGCCACTTTTCTGTATTAGTAAACACACTGAAAGGCCAGTTTCTGTGACATGGGCAGGTTGTGGCCCGGCCACTTTCCCCATGTGAGCGTCAGTGAAGAGCTGTGCCTCTGGCCTCTCTTTAGTTCTTCCTGGGGCTGGCTGGGACTGTTCATTAGCTAGCAAGACTTCTCGGGTCAGAAGGAGCCCAGTGTAGTGTGTTGCCTGTTGGAAAGGTTGGTAGTCTTTATCTCTTCTCCTTCCTTAGATTCACAGCACCGGAAACCTAACAGATAAGTGCCATCAGAGAGAATTAACAGCAGTGGATTTGGGTTGGTTTTCTCTAGGGTCATGTATATTAAGAGGCCACAATCTAAAAAAAAAAGAAAAAAGTTTTTAGAAAAAAAAAAGAGGCCACAATCTAAGGTGAGACAAAGGCCAACATCCCTATCTACTTGTTGGCGAAATTTTGACCCAGAAGGGCTCTGAGCTTGATTCTAGAGCTTGGCAGTCTCCTGATAAGCACTGCTACACTGGGGGAAGTTATTTCCCCACTCTTCAGCCTCAATTTCCTGATAAGCAGTAAGGGTGGGGTAAGAAAGGGGGAGATGAGGAAGAATAATTTTGTTCTACCTACAATCACAGGGTTTTCCTAGAGAGAGTTAAACCAGGCTGCTCCTTGGAGGCAAGGATTCTGAGGCTTTTTTTTTTTAGCATACTTTGGACATGTTGTAAGGAGGGACAGGTCCTTGGAGAGGGACATCATTCTTGGGAGGGTGGAGGGACAGCGAAGGAGAGGAAGGCCCTCTAGGAGGTGGATTGATTCAGTGACTGGGGTAATCGGGGTGCGTGTGTTGGAGACAGTGCAATTGGCACAGGACAGAGTTTAGGGCTGTTGTACATGGGGTCACTATGAGTCGCAAGCGACTCCACACCACATAACAACAATCATGGATGCTGGGAACACTCAAAGGACAAATAAGGGGAATATACTTTTGTATAAGATTGATTGAGGTAATGTTACCTTAGTAATCTAAAGCAATCAATAAACTATATTAACAGAAAAGTCAATTTCCCCACCAGTTAATGCACTGCTTTAGAACAAGAATGCTGTGGTGGCACTTACATCAGCTATTAGGCACATGGCATGTTCAGCACTCACCAGCCCAAGGTACACACCTAGTCAACTCTTAAACAGCACTGCCACTTCCACTTTTTCACATTTCACTAACCTCATGTTTTAAATAGGGTACAAAGTTGGCTACAAGTGTAACAGAGGTAAGTTCCCCAGAGACTACACTGCAAGCTTGCAGAAAACAGGAACTCTCCAAAGGCTTAACTCTAATACCTCTGTTATAATACTTCATTTTGCTCTACTCCAGTCACCAGCTCCTGGAGAGAAGGGATGCCCCAAGTTTGCCACCTATAGGTAGCCGAACTGCTGACATTTGCGTGAAAACACACATGCCTACTTCTGAACCTGAGTTTGTCATAAAGTTGACTTCTGAAAAAAGGAAGCACAGAAAAGGCACAGGTAGGCTAAGGAGCTCCAGGCATGGGTTAAATCTTGGCGCTATTTCCTAGTTGTGCAACCTTAGCGAAATCACTACATTTTCTTCTCATAAAATTGAAACTATCACCTATTCTTACAGGATTTTGTAAAAGTGAAATAAAATCATAGATGTTAAAGCATATTATGATTATCGTGAATTAATGTCTTTGTCACTATACCTGACTACTCCAAACAAAAAATGTTCCCATCCTCCCCAAAATTGTCCATTTCTTTGGAAAATAGACCTTGCCTGCTAGGGAAAGAGCTCCTTAACACATGTGGCTAGAAAATTTTGGATTAGCATAGGCTTTTACCGCTCCAGGATCTTAAAGATCCAAAATGTCAATTGCTGTCTCCTGCTTCTAGTATTTAAATGAAGACATTTGTCCATGCTTGTGCTAAGAAATCTCTCTTGCTTTGCAGATTACATGAAAGAATCTGTGTGCAGCTCCAGCACTTGCTCCTTGAACAGCAGTGAAAACCCTTACGCCACAATTAAGGACCCGCCTATCCTCACCTGCAAGCTTCCAGAAAGCAGCTATGTAGAAATGAAGTCGCCTGTGCACAGGTTGTCTCCGTACACAGATGTGCCGTCCTTGTCGACATCTAATAAAAATATATATGAAGTTGGTAGGTGTCTCAAATAAGTAACTTAGTGAAAATCAGGGCAATAGTGCAGCATCTGAAGTAGGAAGAGCCTTCTCCACGTACAGTCTTGAAACACACCCTTCTTTTGTTGCTTTTTAAAGCATCCAAAGGTGATCTGTCTTTCCCAGGGCTGTCCTCCTCTCATTTGCACGAAATAAAGATTTTTTTGCCAATTTTGCTTTTAAAACACTAGCATGATGCAAACATGCACGGGACGGGTGTGGGTCCATGCACACTTGTCAACTGATTGTTGCTACAAATTCCAGTTCAGAAAACAATCAGAACAGATTTTTGCAAATTTCTAAATCACCCTCTTCTACTGACTACCTAAGATATTCTAAATCTCTTGAAGGTAACAATAACTTGGGATTTTGATTCACTTAGGTTTCCCATCATACTCAGTCCCAGTCCTCAAATAGTTATCACAAATTTGTAAACCTCTAGCTTTTCTCTCCACTAAGTTATAAAATAGAACTCTCTTCCCCTTAACAAAGCAACCAAAGCTAATCTGTTCTTTGAACTCATTTTTTCACTGTATTCCTTAGAGCCCACAGTCAGTGTGGTCCAAGAAAGCCGCGATTGTAATTCCAGCTCTGTCCAGAATCCATACAACCTACCTAAGAACAGCCATATTCCTGGTCATTATGACCTCCTCCCAGTAAGACAAAGCCCTGCCAGTGAGCCCTCCCAGGACAAGCAGTCTTAAGAGGGATAAGCTTCTCTATTGCAATGTACTCTGCCGACTATTCTTTCTCAAAGAAGATAACCCTCTGGCTTGAATAATGGTACAGACTCCAGCTGCATGCTAGTTAAAATCATCAACTGGAACTAAAGAAATGTTACTGATTGTGACTGGGGTAACAAAGGGAAACTTGATCACCTACCAACCTTGAACCCCAGAAACCCTGGATTACACAGTTTCTAAAACATCTACAAAGATTCCACTCATCGACATCAGCTAAACAAAGCTAAATATACATGTATATGTTAATTACCTGAAACATGATGCTTGGAAAGCATGCAGAATAGGTTTTACAAACCTTCCTAGGAAAGAGTTATTTTAAAAAACCTGAAATGTATATGTACTTTTGGTTGCTGTTACCATCAACATGTTTTATTAATTAGTACATAGACATGAACTATGCTACTATCAATACTTAAAGTACTTGTGCATATATGTCTGCTCCATAAAATTAAAATGACAGATGATAGTCTAATGCTGACATGCATTTTTTAAAAATAAAGGCTTTAATAAATATAAATTAACAATTTTCTCTTCTTCCCCATTTTGATAATGGAAAAAAATAATTCCAAAGCTTTAGTCTCTTTTCCACCTACAAAAATGACGTTCAGGCCAGCTTTAACAAATCTCACTAATTTAGAGGTCAAGAACATTGACAAGTCTATCTTGGCCTTTTCTGATCTTTTTTGTTCATCCAACACCTGAGTCATTTCATGTGAAAAAAGAGCTTTGAGATGTTGCTTTAAGTAGTCGGAGAGAGGATCAAATGTCTACTTGGCCTCCCCAATTTATCTATCTGGTTTGCCTTCCTTGACTCAGAAGAGTACTTGCTTCAAGCAGTTCTTTGTTAGTCTTGAGCTTGATATAATATGAACCTGAAAGTGTAGAGGAAATGAAACAAATGTAGATACAGGATTTTAAATTAGTACATTATGTATGCTTTTGGATGGAACTAAATAAAATTATCAAAGAATGGACTAGAATCAGTTGTTGAAACATGATATTTAAAAAAAAAAAAGGTGAACAGCATCTAAGGATAGTAGGTGTGTCTATCTGAAAACCAGCACTTACTGAGATGGTAAAAAAAATCCCAAATTAACACTCCCAATCCCAGTATTCAGATGTGTCTATACCCATTACAACTAATGAATTTAGGTAAGCTGAGATTCTAATGAGTTGAAATGGAATCAACTCCCAAGCCCTAAAGACAGGACCACCTCAGAAAAACAAAGAGCGCATTAAGTGCAAGTAAGGAAGCTAGGGCCTACCCATATGCCCCTCCGTTTTCTTATACCAGATTAACCAGTAAGAAGCACTTCTAAAAAGGTATACAGAGGAGGAGCTGAGTGACGGCTAAGCTGGACTAGTTTCTCCAGGAAGTATGGGAGTCCTGAGGATCTTGAGACAAATTGGAAGTCTTCCATGGAACCAATTAGTTTTGGTCAAGTTGATCCTGAGCCACAGTGAGCCTGCAGAACAGTGGAACTACTCCACAGGGTGCCTAAGGGTGCAGATTTTTACAAAAGCAGACTTCCACATCTTTTTACCACAAAGCAGTGAGTGGTGAAAAATGCTGACCTTTCAGGTAACTTTATTTAATTTATTAACTTTATTGAGTGTTTCAGCCACTCCACTACCAGGGCTCCTTTTTGGTTACCAGCAAAACCAAGAAAATAAATTAATGAGTAGATTCCCTCTCCTGTCCAGTATACCCAAGACTTGGTTAAATTTTTTAAAGGGAAAATATGTAACTTAATGAATGCTGCATGTGTGCATGGGAGCAAGTGATGAACGTAGCAAATTCACTTTCCAAAAAAATATTTAAATACTAGCAAATTACTTTGTAGACCCAAGTAAACATTTTTCACTTACATATGTAGAAGAAATATAGATAAAAGACTGACTTACCTCAATATTTCAGGGCAGCCAGTGCTCAATTATGAAGCAAGAATTAAGATGCATGATGGAGTCAGATCAGCAAGGAGAAAGTTCATTTCAATCCCAGGTTTTATCTTCTTCCCTTACCCTGCATGTACAATAAATTGGCAGACTGCCAGTCTTCACTCAAGTTTCACCTCTCTCTTGCCAATTATCCTCTGAGGAAAGGTACTCAGTAAGAGGTGACATGGTGGAAAGGCTAGAGCACTCAATCAAGAGATCTGGGTGCTAAACTGGGCAAGTTACGTGCCTTCTTGGGCTTCTGCTTAGCCCATGCATAGAAGGGAGAAGCAGAGAAGAGACCTCCACCAAGTCTTTGGCTCTAACATTATGATTTTTAAAGAAATGTGATACAGCTGAAGTCAGGCAATACAGAGAAAGGAAAGGCAGGTTTCAGTAAATGATGCCAGCTGCCTTCACATACCTAAGTGTTCCCTGTAAGGGGTATTTCAATGTTACAGAGAAACTGTTAGGAACTTTTAATTATTATTTTTTTTCTTTTATTATTTTTGTGTGCGTGTACCGTCAAATCAGATCTGACTGGTACAGGAGGAGATTGTCCCTCCTTCCCCGGCAGAGCATCTGATGGATTCGAACCGTGCACCTCTGGGATTGTAGTTGCAGCTTCTTGCCACTAGGCCACCAGAGCTCCCTTGGAACTTCTTATTAGCACTGGCACAAACAGGTTCATGGTCAGTCAGCCTAAATATGTGCACTGTGTTTCAGTTCATTTTATTGGTGACTTGGCAAGTTCTAATGAATTATTTCACAGGAAACTAAAATTTTCAATCAAATAATTTTATGTGTATACAGTTCAGATGAGTAAAGAAAACAACTATTGTACAGTAACATAAGTGAGACTATGAAATGGCAATACTTTTTTAAACACAGATTTGTAATATATTTGTTCACTGTGCAGAGGCATTGTACCTTGTACAAAATAAAATGAGTTTCTCAAACTAACAAGAGTGCCTACTGTCATGCTGCAAAGTGAAATATCATGTATAACCTATAATGGATAACCTACACCTTAGGTTTAAAGGCAGAACTATGTTTCGTGTTGTCATTTTAGACACCTGGAAGAATAAAAATTATCCCAATAAATGCTTGAAAATAAAGTGGAAACACTACTTCAAATGCATAACAAGGAAATCTCTTCCTTTAACATAATGGGCAGAATCAACACATTCTTATTTATGCCTAAATATTACTGAAAAAAAATTCATATATCACTACATTAAAATTAAAGGGTTTCTCTGTTTCCACAAAGATTTGGATTCAAAGACAACTACTGCAGTTTGTACTCAGTTTCAAAGGCACAAAGATACTTCTATGGGATGGAATAAAGGCAAGCGTGAGGGTCACTCAATTTCCATAAATGTCATGAAAAGGCTTCCCTAGTAGAAGTTATCATCCAATACTATTAGTTATCCTTGGCGGGTCTGTTTTAGAACATTTAGAAACATAATCTTGTGAGCTAACTCTTGTAAAGAAGCAACAAGATTAATTTTGTAATAAAACATGTTAACAGCTTACTGAATATATTCAATAGAATGTCTGAAATTTCTCCTACATACTTTCAAAAGTCTGCAGATAAGTCTTATATTTAAACTACATCAAAACCTTTCAATTTTTCACTTTATAAAACTTTTGTGAAAACATATTCCAATTTAATAAAGTGCTTAACAACAACAAAGAAACATTATGCTAATTTAAAGATTAAAACTCATGCAGAGAACAAATCTAAAACTCTTAGACCACTTTCAAGGGCTGGGGCTTAACATCTCACTAAAAGATAACTAAGTAAGTTACAAGGTCATAAAAGTTTAGTAAGAATAATAGTACAGAATTATGACTTAGGAGATAATACATTCAGAATATTACTCAATAGGTTACTCTCTTATGAGCATGGTTAGATTCCACAAAGACCTGGTCACTATGCAGTAATCAGCATTACGTGAAAATGGAGGATGACCACATCACTACATACTTGCCAAATTCAACTATTCTATAGCTGCCAAACACATGAATACAGAATGATGTGCCAAACCACTGAGAAGAACTGCTAAGCCACTGAGAATCGTGGCCTTGCCAAGTTTGACACTAACCTTAAACATCACTACTCTCATCATTACTCTCACCTAGCACCTTGGCATTCATCACCACTACTTATGTCAGTAAGGCATAAAATAGAAAGATTTTTTTAATGCTACTGTCATAACTGAAATGATGAGTTAACAAGATAGTTAAGGAGACGTTCAGTATACCCTAAATGATAACCATATGCCAACAGCTGCAGGATGTACACTCAATATAGAAGGTACAAGAACAGTAAGTAGTGTATTCTATTAGCCATTACTCTGACAAAGGGAAGGAAGAGACCCACTGAATCAGTATGTGGCAACAGGAGATGAAAATCTTTCTCAGAAGAGACTATGAGTAAATGGTGATGGATACATGAGAGCTTGTTATACTATTTTTTTAATACTTCTGTTTATATTTAAAATGTGCTATCAATGTAAAAACCAGAGAAATGGTAATTCTTTAGCTATAGCCAACAAAGTTAAATTACATAAATGCTAGATTAGCTTTTATAGGTCCTCCTTTACAATAAATGACCACCCAGGGGAAGAGCCAAGGCATTTATTTAACAAATAAGTACCAACAGTGCAAAGCTTTGACACAGAGGTGGAGATGTGGACACTGGGAATATAAATGTGAACAAAGCACACTCCCTGGCTTTGCAGATCTTAGACACTAACAATCACAAAAAGGCAAGGATAAACAGAGGGAATGCCAGTTATATACTGTCTTCTCTGATTTACAAAGTCCCTACTTATCTGTCTCCTAAGTCACTGTCCAGCATAGCTAATGATCCTCCAGAGCTGAGGTGTGGGAAGGCATAAAGACCTTTTATAAAAAAGTCAACAAATGCATTCCACTATGCAAGCTTAATTCTGGGTTCCTGTGATAATCATAATATGTTATCATATATCATTTTAAAACTGTTCTCTCCCTCATCTGTTTCAATTCAGTATACAGCCTTTTGGGCGGTGGGGAGGGGGGGCAGGGCAGGGGTGGGGGTGTGGGGGTGTGGGGAGATTGTACACCAAGAAGTTTATCCTTTGCTTTTCAAAGAGAGGAGCAAACTGGGGGGAGGGGGGATAAAGAAAGAAGTGCAATAATGAATGAATGGAAATCCCAAATCTCTGCAAATATTCATTAAAATTAATAAAATTAAAAAAAAAAAAACCCAAAACACCTCAACAAAACAAATTTCATGCTGACCATTCTGACTCTCAGTAACTCTATGGGACAGAAAGTTTCCCTGTAGGGGCTTCTGGGTATAACTGCCAAGTCTTTTCTCCTGTGGCAGGCCTGGTGAACTTGAACTATGAACCTTCTGGTTAACAGCTGAGCACTTAACTAATGCACCACCAGGGCTCCTCACAAGCACATTAGATTTTATAAAAGTATAGTTACTTAGGCATCTATTTTAATGTAAAATGAACCTAATAAGACCTTAATTGAGGACTTTAATAACTTCTTTTAAAGTTTAGTTTCATATTAAAGACACTGTTGCTTCTCAGGCTGGGTTTCTCAGACTGTTCCACTTAAGGGATGACCTATATTCTTGGGTCCATATGATGAAAGGCTTGGGTACAGACTCTATTACAATAGTCATGAGCTTGTTAAAGAACTGACCAAATACAGAATCACGTTCCTCGAGATGTCTAACACACAAGGCAGGAAAAAAAGGTGTAAGAGCTTAGAGGTTGTCAGTAAGGGAAGGAGTACTAAAAGCAGCATTCTTAATGTGGTAAAGGGTAAAATAGCCAATCTCCATGCCATCTTATGCTAAGTCTATGCTCAATAAATGTTAAGGAACTTGATCCAAATAATTTTTAAACAACTAATAATTAGATTACTATATCCCAGCCAAATGATGCCATTTTTATTGTGTGTGTACACAGAAATTTATATACTTAGATTTAATGACAATTACTGGATAGCTAGCTCTACAGACTGATTTATCTTCTTCATTATTCCTATTAGAGCCATTAGAAAGTAAATTCTTTTTAAAAGTTCCATTCTACCAGACAGAATGTATTTTAATACACACCAGAAGAAGTTTTTTAACAACAAAAGTAAAAAAATAAGCAGTTTCTAATTTATAGTTAACATGGTAGCCTGTCAAATGTTCCCCTCCCCATAACACATGTAGTATTTTGATGCGTATTATTGAAATTAACAGCCATTCTGCAAATATTCTGAAAGCTTTCATCTTAATTAATGGAGTTAACATAGAAATAAAGATAATATTTTAATCAAGTCTTAATTAGAATATCTGTTTGCCTACTAGTACCTCAAAAGAAAGTTCATGTATAGAGCTGGCAGGAACCCTAGAAATTACTTAATCTAGGACCATCATTAACTAGAAGACGGTGAGGCCCAGAGAGGAAATAACTAGAAATAAAATGCAACTCTTTGTTATCAGTCTAAGTGCTCTCATGTACTTTTAATCTTCTCATTCACATATATAGTTTAGCATATTTTTAAGTACTGTCTAGTAGAAAATGTCCTTTTAAAGACAATGTTTCCAATCTATAACCCCAATTTTCCAGAAAAAATTAATGTCCTCAATTAAAATTCTCTGTCTCCCTAATAAAAGCTGTGATGTAATTTTATACCACTTTATGGTTACATCTGTCTCCTATAGGGAGCTCTGGCGACCTAGTGGTAAGAAGCTGTGCTGCTATCCCAGAGATACATGGTTCAAATCCACCAGCTGCTCCATGGGAGAAGGATATGTGAACTCATCCTGTGCAATTTACTGTTACTGAAAACCTACTGGAGGGTCAGCTATGTGCTGGTTCTGACTCATGGCACACAATAGGTTCCTACAGTTTGGGGGACACAATCATTCCTTAAAACATTAGATTGACAAACCCTTATTTGGCATGGCCTAGAGAAAAGGAAGGAACTCTGGTGGCCCGTTGTTAGTGTTAAGTGCTGTCGAGTAAGACTCATAACAACGCTATGAACCATGATCTAACCATCTGAACCATGTCTAACCTGTGCCATCTTCATAATTTCTGATACATATTTAATCCCACTGTGGTAAGGAACTGCACTGTCAACACAAAGGTATGTGGATCGAATTTACCATTTGCTCCATGGGAGACAGATGGGCGATGTACCTGATGGTACACAACAACAGAGGTAAGGAGCTGTGCTGACAACCTGAAGGCACGGGGTGTGAATCCACCAGCTGCTCTGAGGGAGAAAGATGGACGATCTCCTCCCATGTGATTTATTGCCTCTGAAAACCTGCTGGAAGGTCAACTATGAGTTTGTTCCAACTCAACGGTACACAACAACACAGATGGATGGGAAAGATGACTTGCCAAAAAGTCCCACCCAACAAGAAGCCCGCCAAAACTCTCTTCTCTTTGACATGGGTGTCATTATTTCCTTATCTAACTTTGTGCTAGCTGTCAAATGATGGGATAGAAGAGTATCCCTTCAAGGTTTTTCTTTCATAAACACAGGAATGGATGTCATGCACTGTCCATACAAAGTTTCTATTTTCCCAATGTTTTGAAATATTTTTTCAAGTTTAAGATGTTGTGGGAACTCAAATCTCAAATTAAAATCTCTATTTTATTACCTGAAAAGTTTCATAAATTGAAACCTAAAAGATTGGAATTAAGTTCTTCATTACCTACTCAAGCTGAATAGCTGCTTCTATTGTTGGCCCTTAAGGTAGATGGAAGAGATGATCATAATAGCTTAACCCACTGACAACATTTTTATTTTGTATTATGTAAATATAACTCAATGAAGACTAAAAAGATGTTTGTTTCCTCAATGATGAAATAAATGTGACCAGTTCTGACGGGTAATCCAAACTTTTAAAGAAGTCTAACTTTGTTGCAAAACCCCTCAGAACTGAATAGACCTCTGGTACAACTCAGAGGTCTGGCGACTGGTAGCTCTTCTTAAGTTATATAAGAGTTACAGTTTAGCTTACTCAATGCAGTGGCTAAAGACAACTTACCCCTACACAAAGAAAGCACAGATGGCACTAGAGAACATACAAGTTCAAATCTAGGCACAGTGACTTAAGTGACCTTTCAAGAATACAACACATAAAAAGAACCATTCAAAATGAAGTAACTGTCAAGCAGGGTCAAGCAGCAAAAGTGTCCTAAAACTCTTGAGTCCTGAATTGTCATAATATTTAAAAACTTAATGTTTCTTACTTAAGAGGCTTTGTCTCTTGAGAGAGTTCTCAGAATGAAGACACTTGTTGAAATGCAATTAAAGTAATTTTCTCCTAATATCTAATGTTTCTTGGATTTCTTTCAAGACCCAACCATGCTCAGGGCAGCATTAAGTCTATACATGGTAAAACTCTAAAAGTTACTTTATTCATGTTTGATTGACTATCTAGTTTCTTCTTTGTTTTGACATAATTTGGTAAAAAATTCACTACCAATTTTGAGCAAAATAAATAAGATAAGAAGCCTCTTTCCCAAGTCTGAAAACAGTGTTATATATGAAAGCAAAGAGACTAGGTCCCTAATGTTTTGCAGTAATACTTTTTCCAAGAAAAGGTCAAACTGCATGTCTAAAACTAAAGTTGCTTTCACACACTGATGAAACCCAGTGCTTACTCTATAGATAAATAAGGACATCTACTCTTATTCAACACAGTCAGACCATGGCTACATCCAAAGCACTCAAAGGAAAAATATATTCTGACAACATAAGGAATAGTAGTCCCCCTATAACTGTTTATTAGAATGTGAATATATTTGAAATCAATAACTAAAAAAAAGGGAAAAATCAAATTACAGAGCATGCATAAAATACAAAGTATCAATTTACAAACAGATAATAGTATCTTCATAACCAATACACTAAATAATAAAATGGCTACAGAAGAAAACCAAAATGACTGACTAGAGCAATGCCCTCAGTGCTCCCCACACATCATCAGCACTGCAAAAGACAGAAAATTAACTACGATGCACAGCAATCTAGGCAAGCCTACACACATATATTTTTTGGGGGGAATCTCATCACCCTGAATAGTATTCCTGCAGCTGACACAATTTGCAGAACACTGCAGAGTAAGTGCTTAATATTATCCACAAAAAAAGTAAAACTAAATATTAGTGTGCACATTTCTGAATGAGAAACTAGTTGATTCAATGATTTCAATAATGTAGTGGAAGGAAACTATTTTGCTTGTACAATGCCTAACTGCATTCAATTTAAACTTAAGATATTATTTCATCTTACTCACTAAAAGAATACATGCCTTTAAGTGATACCACTTGAGCAAAAATTAACCTTTCATTGTACTCCTTAGACAAACTGAAACCAAAGACTTGACTATATTCCACAATGCACTGCAAAACTCAAATATCAACATAGTCAAGATTAAGTATCCATGCCTGTAATGGGTATGGTGATAAAAGCAGGGTGCATTTCATTTTTAAAACAAAAACAAACCAAACAAACATAAAAAATTTAAAAAGAAAAAACCCATTACTTCAAAAGTTGATACTACCAGCAGGAGTACGAAAATGCTGCAAAATCTGCTGTTTGGCTGTTAGATCAATTAAACGATGTTTGCTGCCTGCTTGTTAGAACAGTGGCACCTCGGATGGAATCCCACCATTCTCTCTAGTTCACAGCCTACCAAGCAGAATAATGTAATATATGGCCCCCATCACCATACTGCTACCCAAACCATAGAAATCCTTTGTGTTTATTAACATCATTCTTAACTTTTAAAGTGCCCTTCTTTTTAATCAGCTTCAATGCTTACAAAAATTAAAGAACAAAATTTACTAAACTACATTACCCTATTAAGGCATTTTTAGAAAATTACTTCCAGAATAATGAAAAAATTTCAAGCTTCAAAATCCTGCTAGCTTTATAGGGCAACTCTTAGATTTGTGGAGCTATACACCACACTAAGAGAAGAGTGCATTCCTTATAAGCTGCTCTGAGACAAAATAACAACTGATTTTTAAAGGTTTTAGTTTGATCTGATCAAGACCAATCAATAGGTCTGAGCTTTGAGTGTTCATGTTCTACTATGACCTACAGTGACAGGCTGCCATGATGAAAAGTAAACAATAATTGAGGAATCCAAACATTCAGTTTATTAACTAAGGCTAGTGAGGCCATAGCATGAAAAAGAGCTGCAGTCATTTGGGACAAGTGGATGATTTTATAAAGCTAAAATCAAAGACATAAGACATGGAAAAATTCATAAGTATAAGGAAGTAACAAAACACAAAGGTGACCACAAGAATTACAAATATATTTAAATCTCAGACCTGGGACTATACACAGCCTTCTAGGGGAGAAGAGAAACACTTTATATGTTCTGACAGCACTGCACCTTTGGCTTATTTTCAGTGGTTGGTGGAACATGAATAGGAACCACATTGTTGCTTGGAGACATGTCATTTTCACGTCTGTCTGACATTTGCTTCTGAGAAACAATGCGGTAGATCTCTGAAAAAGAAGAAAAAGCAGTATTTAGCGTGAATAAACTCATCAACAGATGGTTTTTTAAAAGTACAATTTAATGGTTAAAGGGAGGGGTGGGTAAAGGAAATGGGAAAGATCCAGTGTGAATAATAATGTATGCAAACTTAACTAAACCAGTATAAAATAAAAATTTTATTTTTTTTTAAAAGGAACCATAAGGTACATCTGGAGAAATGACTTATTTTAAGAGTACCAACAAACTGAACAGACAACCTATAAATTTAAAGTTTTACTTTAAAATAGTCACTGATTGCAACCACTGATTACAATGTTTCCTTCTGCCATACATATAGGCTGATTGGCAATGGAAAGAAAAGCAAATGTTTTTCCATTTCAGAGGGGAAAAGGTCCACCAAAGTTGATGAAATAAATTTTGGTTTAAAAGGTTGTACATAGCTTATAAGTCAAGATCTGAATTTAAAAAAAACATGAAGGTATTTCCAGTCTGCCCTTAACAAGAAGTCTACACTGATTCCCCCGCCCTTGGGAAAAAGAATAATTAATCCACAACATCACACACATTAGCTATTTTTCTAGGATATGAAGGGTCGAGCTCAACTTCACCAACAAGACAAAATCCAAAAGGACTCTTGGAAAGGAAGAAAGTTTGTTATGTGCTTGCCAGTGACCTTTTGAACTAAAATTTCATCAGTTACTCAAAACAAGCAATTTAATGCATTTTTACACATACGCTATTTTTTTTCAATCACCAAAGCTAATTATTTATACTTTTATGATTCTCCCACTAAACTCTATGAGGCCAAAAAAAAAAAATGTAGCTATCTTACTCACTGAAATATTTCCAAGATATTGCACATGTAGGTACTCAACTATCTCATGAATGTTGCTGGCTCTGCTTGCCATCGAATTCATTCCAATCATGGAGACGCCATGTGTGCAGAGTGGGACAGCTCACAGGACTCTCAAGGTTGTGGTCTCTCAGAAGCTGACATTCACATTTGTCTACCCAGGTACCTCTGGGTGGCTTCAAACTGTCAACTTTTTGGCTGTTAGTCTATCACTTTAACTGAAAAATACTATTACATTTCTTCTCAGATCTGTATTTGGTCATGTGTTATATTGCCTAAAAATCGTTCCCTCTGATACAACCAACTCAACCTGTTGCTCTTAAGTAGAAACCAACTTATAATAACAAGTTTTCAGCATCTAAAGCGAGTTTTCAGAGGCTGGAAATCACACAGGCAGAGACTGTCTCAAATATTTTGGACATGTCGTTGTCGTGTACCATTAAGTCAGAACTGACCCACTGCTGACCCTTTGGCAGGTTTTCTGAGGCAGTTAATCACACAGGAGGAGACTGCCCATCTTTCTCCCCTGGGGCAGATGGTGGATTTGAACTATGTGCCTTTGGGATTGCAGTGCAGCTTCTTGCCACTAGTTCACCAGAGATCCATGTGTTAGGAGAGGCTATTCCTTGGAAAGAGACATCATGCTAGGAAAGATGGAAGGTCAGAGAAGAAAATTAGATGGACTAGTACAGTATCTACAGCAATGAGCTCAAACATGTTAGGGATGATAAGGACGGCCAGGGCAGGTCAGGGTTCAGATCTTTTGTTCACAGAGTTGCTCTGAGTGGAATCGATGGCACTTATCAACAAAATGCATCTACCTCGCAGTATCTACTATCCTCAAGCAAAAACAAACAATTCAAAAGATATGGAAATTCCTAAAAGAATAAATTAACATGCCTCAAACTGGAGTGGGCAAAGTCTGATGCCAGGGACCTCTCCAGAGTGCTGAGGAGCAATGATGTCAGTCTAAAGACTAATGTGCACCTGATCCAGGCCATGGTCTTCACAATTACTTATGCATCAGAGAGCTGGACAATGACTAAGGATTACAGATGAAGTGTGGTGCTGCAAAAGAGTATTGAACATACCATGGACCTCCAGGAAAACAAATAGGTCTGTCTTAGAGAGGGTAAAACCAAGTTTCTCCTTGGAGCCAAGGATTCTGAAGCTCCACTTCATATACCTTGGGCACATGGCTAGGAAGGACCAATCCTTTGAGTAGGACATTATTCTTGGAGGGACAACACAGGAGAAGAGGATCCTGGATGAGATGGATTTAATGATAACTGGGCAATGGGATTAGGTGTGTTGGAGTCAGTGAGACTGATTCAGGAAAGGGTAGGCTTCAGAGCTGTTCACTATGAATCAAAGGTGACTCAACAATCCACTCAAACTCAAATCTTCCAGCTGCCCCAGAAGAGACAGATACAGAGTCTCCTCCTGTAAAGATTTAGAGCTTCAGAAACTCAATTTAGGGTCACCATGAGTCAGAGAAAACGACACAGTGGGCTTTCAGTTTAAGTTGAAAAGAGAAAAGTTTAGTCATTAATAGTAAAATATCAAAATAACTATAATTTATTTTCCAAATACTCAATGAAAAGGGGGAAAGTAAATGAGCACATGGGGAAAGCCATTTACAGAAACGGTAGCAACTGATGAGCCCAGATGAAAAGTATATGCGTATTCATTATATTATTTCTATAAAATTAAATATAAAGTTATGAGGTGAAAAGAGAAAGAACGGTATTTTGAAAATGCTCTTCGATGTACAGAAATTTTTTAGACCCTAAATTAAACTGTCATGCAACTCCATGTGTGCAGAGTAGAACTGGTCCATAGGGTTTTGAAGGTCACTGTGTCAGTCCATCAGTCAATCCAAAGTCAACCCACCATTTGCACCACCCAAATGGGAATCAATCTGATGGGCAAACAAATTCAAACTTAGAAAAAAATTTCTCTGAGATGATCAAGTGAAATTACTTGGCTAATAAGAAATCAACGCCTTTTCTTTTGGTGACATGAGTCCAAGTTTCCAGAGCAAATTGTTTTTTCATTTAACTATTCACTCACTTCCTTTGTATCATTAATTTTACAATAGTAATTAATTAATTAATTTTACATGTAATCACATCCTTCCATTTCCATTAAACCTTCCTCCTTCTTGTCTTCTGTACCACTGGGCAAGTAGTGCTTTTCTGACCTTAAATGGCTGGTTATTCTAAGAAGTGAATACCTCCCGAGGAAACTGATCCCTTATAGGCTTGTTTACTGTTTAGATGAAAGTTGAGCTAGAATGTCACTTTTGTTCCAGGTTACAAGGATGACTAGCGATCCAGTCTCTATTAGTCTAGTAAGCCTGACTTTTTAAATGTGTTTTAGTTGTTTTCCACAGTTTCTCCCCACTCTTTTATTGTGATCCCTCTGACAGTGGTCAGCAGTGGTCACTGGGCACCATCCAGTTCTTCCTGTCTCAGGGTCATGGACATTGAGGTTCACATAGCCCATTAGTCCAATGGACTGTTTTTATATATTTTGCTTGTCTGCCTTCTTCCTTGTTCTTGACAAGGAGGGACCAATAACTGCATCTTAGATGGTTGCTCAGAAGTTTTTCCTAGGTAGGACACTGAGTGTTGTCTCTGCACCATCTTTTAAAGTGATCTTATTATTAAGGGTTTAAAAGCTTATCAGATATGCATATTACATGTGTACAAGTGAAATGACGTATCTGAGATTGGCTATAAAGCAGTGAAAGTAGGTAGAAGAAAGGCTGATCAGAAGATGATTGAAGGCTATTACTGGCTATGCAAAAGTCGTGATATTACTCTACTTTTGGACATTTTCCATAACAAAAAGTTAATGAAAGTCTAAACATGAAGGTGGTTTCAGCTGCAGACTTAAAGACTGATGAACTGTAAACCCCATGACTCAACTTTCAAACAAAGTTAAAAATGTCATTGTATTTAAGTCAGGACCAAGTAACAACTCATCCCCTGCAGGTTTGAGGCTGTAAACTGCATGGGGGTGGTATTATCCATCTTTTTCCCTTAGCCTTCCAACTCCCTATGGACTACACCACCAGGTTAAACAGCTATAGATCACCAGGGAACAGCACACTCCTTGGAACAACCAATTATACAAGATTAAGAGAGGAGGGATAAAGCTCAAAAGGCATGAACAGACAAACAGGGACAATGGAAATGAGGAAGTGAGCGGCAGTGCTATTACATCTTACGAAGCATAAAGTATGTGAACTGCTGAATGGAAAACCAATTTGCTCTCTAAATGTTCACTCCAATGAGAATAAAAAGCTGAAGAAGAAACATATTAATTGAATTAGTACATTTTCTTTAAATTAAGAACTAATTTCCCTGAATTTGAACACAGCAAGCTATAGTCAACAGAATATGCTAACAGAAACTCTGACAGTATCTGTAATCTTGTTTTCTGAGAGAGGGTTTTAAAATTTGAGTTTGAGAAAAGTGAATAGTGAACTAAATCAAGAAGAAAAATGCAGATTAATAACTGTCGTTAGGTGCCCTCCAGTCGACAATGACTCATAGCGACCCCAAGAACAGTTCTGTACCTTGTCCTATCCTGCATGACGCATTATTACAGTCACTGTCTCAATTCATATTGTTTGTTGAGGGTCTTTCTCTGGCCCTCCAACTTTTCTTAGCATGATGTCTTTTTCCAAGGAGTGGTCCTTTCTTACAACTTGCCCAATATGAAAAAAATATTTTATTACTAAGTAGAGAAAAGGATTTTTTTTAAAAGTAAATATTATGGAATCTTAATTTAGAATCCTTTCATTGAAAGGTAATAGAAGGGGAGAGTTTCAAGGGTAAAAGGGAAGGAAACACATTCAATCAGGCTAATGGCCAAGAAATTAATATTATCAACAAATTACTGTTAAACTCTATTCTTTATGTTTTCTCTCGAATATCAAACTGAGTAGTTCTTCTTTTTAAAGTCTAATGATTAAACATGTGACTCTTAAAATTTTTAACTTCTTTACAAGTTGTTTTGAAGATTAACTGAGGGGACACCCCCCTCTCAAAGAGAGGGGAGGGGAAACCTACAGGTTCTTACATAAAAAGCTAGTATGTGCAATACTAGGAAAGAGGCAAAGGCAGACTTTTGAGAATACAGAGA